GACTTCAAGCACTGATGCCACGTTTTGGTTTGGCCGCCCCTAACTTTCTTCCAATTATCCCCTGCACTAGTCAGCATTGCGCGTCGTGGTAATCGGTGTTCAGGCATACGCAACACGTGGCCCAACCATCTCAGTCGATGAAGATTCATAACCTCATCAACTGATTTACCATCATTCCCTAATACCCTGCGTCTAACCTCACTATTACTTACCCGGTGATCCCAGCAGATACCCGCAATATTTCTAAGGCACCTGTGGTCAAATACTAGTAACTTACGAATATCTTCCACTCTTAAAGGCCATGTTTCGCAGCCGTATAGAAGGACGGAACGAACTGCCGCGCAGTATACTCGTCCCTTAATTGATAGACGGATATCTCGCCTTCGCCATAGATGACGTAAGTTGGCAAAGGCCAAGCGAGCTTTTCGAATCCGTGCTGAGATTTCGTCAGACACCAACCCATTAGGGCTGATCAGACTTCCAAGATAAGTGAAGTTGTCAACGCGTTCGACTACTTCACCCCCTATCCTTAGTTCGGGTGTTGACGCAGACCAGTCCTGAAGCAACAACTTGCATTTAGAGGGAGAAAAGCGCATCCCAAACATTCTAGCATTGTTGCTCAGTGCTACCAAAAGACTCTGCATTTCATCAGCGTCTTCACCAAACAGGACTATGTCATCTGCGTATTCTAAGTCAATAAGTGGACCTCCTGGTAGGAGATCAATACCCGAGAAGTCAGTCGATGAGAGCGTTATTTCCATCAGGATGTCTATGATAAAGTTAAACAAAAAAGGAGAAAGTGGACAGCCTTGACGGACGCCACTTGAGGTTGCAAAAGCAGATGACAGTTCGCCATAGGCTCTGACCCGACTAGTAGTGTTCGAGTAAAGAGCCTTCACAAGGTTTATGTACTTCTGAGGTACGCCTTTCAATGACAGACACTGCCACAGAACCTCTCGGTCAACAGAGTCAAACGCTGCTTTTAAGTCAAGGAATACCACCATTGTCGGACGCCGATAAGTATGCCTGTGTTCTAGAACCTGACGAATGGTGAATATGTGGTCGATGCAGCCACGACCAGGTCTGAAGCCAGCCTGATTTTCACGTGTTTGCAGTTCACGAGTCTTAGTTAGGCGTCCGAAAATTATCGAAGCTAGTATTTTAGATACTATATTAGTCAAACTAATCCCTCTGTGGTTGTCACAGGATGATTTTGACCCTTTCTTAAATATTGGGACGATAAGTGATTGTGACCAGTTAGATGGAATAACGTCTAACTCCCAGATTTTAGCTAAAATATTAGTCAACCTAATCGCTAAGACTAGACCACCATCCTTAAAGACCTCTGGGGCCAATCCATCTGGACCAGCTGCCCTTCCTCGTTTCAGATTAGCTATAGCCTTTTGAACTTCAGCTAGAGTTGGGGGACCTACTTCAATGTTCCATTCACACTGTCTGGGAATAGAGGGTAGTTGTAAAGTAGCTGAAGGTAAGCTAAACTGCTCCTTAAAGTGTTCCGCCCATCGTTCTAAGCGTCTGGACTGGGAGCAGATGAGAGTGTCGTCTTTTTCCGAAATGGTCTGACTTACACTTGATTTATTAATTCCGGTTTCTTTTATTAGTCTGTAGAGTTGTCTTGTGTTCCCTATAGCCGCCGCCTTTTCCATCTCTTTTGCTTTCGTTGCCCACCACTGCTCACGATCATTCCTTAGACTTTTGCTTAATCTAGATTTGATTTCTTTACGCTCTTCATCGTATTCAAAACCTGATGGGATGAGTTTGCGAGAATCTATCAGTGCAATAGACCTTGACGAAATCCATTGGTTTTTTGTAACCATTTGGTTTAAATCACTGGTAGATGTCACTGCTGTTTCCACAGCTGCTTGTATAACTTTCCAAGCAACATCTGGGTCAGTCTCGTTTTCAGAACTACCTAAGTGTGACCTCAGTTGTTCCTGGAACCTACTTTTGGCTTTCTCATTACTCAATTCGGTTCTAATGAGTCTTTTTTGTGTGGCTCTTTTGCGTCCAGTGAGGCGCAAGCAGATGCGTGCTCGTACTAGGGCATGATCAGAGTCCAAGCAGGTACCCCAGAATGAGCGACAATCTTCTATTGACCCTCTCCAACGATGACTGATGGCAATATGGTCTATTTGAGTCCATCGTTGGTTTGGTGCAGGGGGTCGCCATGTTAGACGATGTCTCTCTTTATGCTTAAAATTTGTGTTTGCTAAAAATAAACGATTGTCTGAGCACAGTTGCAGCAGACGATCACCATTATCTGTTCGCTGTGCCGGAATACTAAAATACCCACCTAAATGTCTTTCTGTTTTGTTTAAGCTACCTACCTGGGCATTAAAGTCACCTCCTACGAGTACTATGTCTGAACGTTTAGCTTTCTGAAGAAGTTCAGACAGCTTTCTGTAAAATTCATCTTTCACTTCATCCGAACTGCAGTCAGTGGGAGCGTAGGCAGAAACGACGAAAAGGCAACGACGTGTGTCCTTATCCTTCCGAGTTCTTACTGAGCCGTTTAGCCGAACAGCGCATAGACGACTGTTAACGGGGATCCACTCTAATAGCGCTTGTTCCGCCCTCATGCTAAGTGCTATGCCTACACCTGCCAGTCCACGAGAACTAGCCATCGGGTCGCCAGATACACGGAGGGTGTATCTCGTTGGCTCTCCGTTTTGCCGAGGTGAGGTCAAGTGAATGACCACACTAGGATCCTGTATGCGTGTTTCGGAGACACAGCATACATCAATGGTACGAGATTCTAAGGTTTTAGCCAAGGAAGCCTGCTGACCGATTTGGCATAGTGTGCGTACGTTGAAGGCTCCAATGTATAGTTTGGAGCGAGGTTTCAGTAGACCTGGGACAGTGTTTTGAGCACTAGAATCGTTGGCTGTGGTGACACTTGAGGAGGAAGCTAAAAGAGGAAGTTTAGTGTATAAAGTCGATGTAGGAGGAATAATAGGGATTGAAGAGGGAGGTTGACTATGAATACAGTGGTCTTGAGTGCTGTTAGAGGTACGAGGGCGGTTATCACTTCCCGGTTGCCCACACCGTGGAAGGGTTCTTCTGGAGGTACCTGAAAAGGAAATTGGATTAGAGTTGGTCATAGTGACCTGAGAGCGTGACCGCAGTGCCCAAGGGACAGCTGCTTGAGGTCGGTCACACACGACCTTTTTATGAGTGATTTTTGTGTTAGCTCCGTACTTGTTGAGTCCTTACCGCCGGAGACGGATATCCGTGGGATAAGGCGAGGTGTGCATTTTTAGGGTCGACCTTTTCTAACCCCACCCCTCCTTGTGGGAAGGCAGCATCGCTGTCATGCTGGTTGTCTGAAGGAAACACCTTACTGCTGTCACACCTCTGTACAGTCAGCAGTACGACTTCGCCTTCGGACCTTGGTTTTGTTGCTTTTAGTCTTACCGCTCTTCAACCGACCTGTCTGGCATGGTTGGACCTTGAGGAACGGTTGTTCCAGCCAGTATAGCTCGGTTGGGTCATCACGATAGGCAAGCCCGACCACCACGTCAAGGTAGCAACAACGGTCAGGCGAAGGTACTTATGGTCACATGCTAGGAAGTTGTTTGTGTATTTTGGTTTCAAAACCCTTACAACTGCAACGTAGTGTAAAATGAATGTCTGATTTATTTACCATCCCTAGTATTAAGAATGATAAGCCTATCAAAATCTTTTTTGGATAATCAATCCAGGTGCTTAGGGGACTCTTTGTCGCGTTATCATCTCTCATGATCTTCTGCACTCTTAAAGTCTCAGAGTTTCTAAATGCGAGTTAAATAATCGAAAGAATCAAACTTGATAGCGTTTTACGTCATCCAAATTATGAACCCTTACAGACCATATTGTTATTGGTCACCATTGAAGGGAATAAATGTTAGTCTGTTGCTTTTCTGCATTTTCATCATTTACTTAAAAGGTTTCTCATGATAGATCTAAAGATAAAAGCAATAAGTGTATGATAAAGGACTATCAAGAGTGGTTTCATTTATGACGTACCCTAGTGAAGTATTCAGTCTACTGAAAAATATCGTTGAAGATTGTAAGTAATCTGTGACCAATGGTTATAGATAAAAAGGATATTAGGGATAGGCAATAACTGGAAGTTATTTAATTTAATCAGAACGGTTTGAAAAAGGCGGTGCTTAGTATAACTATTATAAAAGAGGATTGGATATTTACTATTCCTGGGATTAGTAGGCTGAAACGTTTACTAAGATAGCTCAATATATTAACTAGCCTACGGCTGCTCTTTATTTACTTAAACTTGAATCACAACCACAGATGATATTGAGATTGGTAGGCGCAGGATGAGGCCAATAAAAATCAAAGCAGTAGGATATGATCCTTGAAGCCTCTAATGTATTCACACTAATAAAGTAAAATAAAATCTGAACATTGGGAATCTTGAATTCATTTGTCGGATGTAGATTTTGCCCACTTGAAAACTACTTTTCCTTTTGGTGATCTACATAATCATCAATGGGGTAATCGTCCACAAATCCTCACTAAAGATGCAAACATGTCTTTACAATTGCGTAGCAGTTGTTAGTAATATGTTAATTTATAGAGGGAACTATTAAGAGGAGTGAGTAAACTTATGAATTGATGCTTTCCCCTATTGTTGTAATATGTTATAGTTTCTAGGTCCTCAAATAATCAACACACTTGCAACAGACACTTGGTTCAAAAAGTTGTATCGTCATTTCAAATAGGAACTCATTGGGTAAGGAGTCCAACATATGAGGCTTGGGTGTTCATCATTGTTACTAATCACCAGCAATAGATTTCTCATATCTTTGTAAATCTATTTTAATTCATTAGTAAGAAGCATTTAGGAAGGGGATATTGATAGCAGTTGGTGATTTCATTGTTACTTGAATATCGTTTTTTTAAAAAGGTATTTTCTTTGACTATAATCGATATTATTCGATAACATGTTACCTATTCATTCAAATTCATTATTTACATAGGACTTCTCCCCTATATCTGGTTCATCTGAAGCTCACGAATTCCTATGCAAGGTTTTTGAGAAGAGACCATCAATAAGAGACTTTAACGAATTCGGTAATATTAGTTTAAAGTATCCAGGTAAGATTTCATTTATATTAATAAGTGCACTTGTCATCATCTTGATAAGTCAGTTAGTCAGTGGTCTCGAGTGCTGTTAGAGATATGAGGGTGGTTATCACTTCCCGGTCGCCCACACTGTGTAAGGGTTCTTGTAGGAGTACCTAAAAAGGAAATGGGGTCATAGTTGGTCTTAGTGATCTGAGAGCGTGGCTGCAGTCAGTCGGCTACAACGTAGGACCAGGTTCATATATACGTCGGTCAAAGTTACCACACATCATTAGCACAACAGGATGAACACAAAATTCATAGAAGCAGTTATTTCAATGGTAGTAATATATAAAAGAAAGATTTCATACAAGGATATGATACAAGGAGAAACAACTAGTTCGCAGAAAGAAAGGTATAAAGTAATTTTAATCTCACCGTTTAAGAGAAGACGAAAAGTGTATACACCTACTTCATTGTGATCTTTTCTGAACCATGTCACCCAGAGTCTCCAACCATCGGTTACGATAGTCGCGCGGATCCCAACCAAATAGTCTGTATCTACCAACATGGTTGAGACCAGAAGTTAGTGACTTCAAGGACTGATACCACATTGACTGATTTACCATCATTCCCTAATACCCTGCGTCTAACCCCACTATTAATCACCCGGTGATCCAGCCGATGCAAGCAATATTTGTAAGACATCTGTGACTAAATACTAGGAACCCACGGGTATCCTCTACCCTTAATGGCTACATTTCGCAGCAGTAAACTAGGACAGAACGAACTGCTGAGCAGTATATTCATACCATGACACCATGTCATGCACTGACCATCTCTCCGTTTCTCCCAACCAGTCCCAGTGTCCGCAAATAATGCACGACGTGGAATTCTCTGGGACGACATTCGTAGAACATGTCCAAGCCACCGAAGTCGGTGTTTCAAGATGGTGACACCAATTGGATTATCGTCTCTGAGCCCGAACACACAATGCCAAACCTCTGCATTACTAACATGGTGTTGCCACTGGATGTTAGCAATCCTTAGGAGACAACGATGATCGAACACAGAGAGTCGTCTAACATCGTCAACTCGGATAGGCCAGGTTTCACAAGCATAGCGCGAAACTGCTCTCACCGACGCGTTGTAGATCCGACCTTTTGCAGACAGACTAACGTCATGAAGGCGCCAAAGATGGCCTAGATTGGCATAAGCCTCTCTCTGGTTTTCACTATGCGTGCATTGATCTCATCACTCACGCCACCACCAGCACTTGTGTAGCTACCTAGATACACGGACTTCTCGACTACTTCTATCTGCTCACCACCCAGGGTGAGTGCAGGATCAGGGTCCCGTCGGTCTTGTAAAAGTAGTTTGCACTTCGAAGGTGCAAAGCACATACCATGTCTACGAACACTGATTGCCAACTGATTAAGTGCAGATTGCATGGCCTGGGTATCATCGCACAGTAAGACAATATCATCCGCATACTCAAGGTCGAGAAGTCTTTCTCTAGGCAACAGATCTACACCGCCACTACTTACATCTATCAGAGCTGTTTCCAGAATGTCATCGATGACAAGATTGAAGAGGAGTGGTGAGATGGGGTGTCCCTGTCTAACCCCACTGCTTGGATGGAACAATGGAGAGAGGTGTTTGTATGCCCTCTCTCTGCCTGAGGTGCTAGTATGTAGGGCTGTTAACATGTTCTCAGGCACACCCTTCTTCAATAGACAATCCCAGAGAACAGTCCTGTTCGACGAATCGAATGCAACCCTGATGTCAAGAAACACTATGATTGTTGGTCTGTGATAAGTATGACGGTGTTCTAACATTTGGCGGGGGGTGAAGATATGATCAATACATCCTCGACCAGAACAAAAACCAGCCTGCTCCTCGCGAGTTAATCTTTATTGGGTTTTGAACAACCTGCGAAGTATGACGGAAGCCAACAGCTTGGACGCAATCGGAAGTAAACTTACCCCCCGGTAGTTGTTACAGGAACGACGTGAACCCTTTTTAAAGATAGGGACAACTATCGACTCATTCCATGACGTTGGTACACTCTCTAGTTCCCAGACCTTTGCAAACAACGTCGTCAGTCCCTCAGTCAGAAAGTCACCACCATCTTTAAAAAGAGCCGGAAGTAAGTCGTCTGGGCCCGGTGATTTGTAACGCTTCAAGAGTTGGAGTTCCTTGCGGACTTCCGCCTCATTTGGTGGATCGGTCGTCATCGGCCATGGAGGGCAGGACAGTCTGACCAATGTTGCCGGAGCAGCAGGCCAGTTGAACTGCCCTTCGAGGAATTCTGCCCATCGTCCAAGACGTCGATGGATGTTAGTGATTGGCGTTCCGTCATCTTCGCAGATTGTTTCGCTCACACCAGACTTCTTGCTGCCAGTGGCTCGGATGAGTTGGAAGAGCTTACGGTAATTACCAGATGCAGCTGCTGCTTCCAGCTCATTAGCACGCTCCGACCACCAGTCTTCTCGGTCCTTATGCAAGCTTTACCCCATTTCATTACGTAACAGCCTTCGTTTATGGTCAAACTCATGGTCACTCGGAGTAGACTGACGGGCTTTGATGAGTTGTAAGGAGCCTGAAGAAACCTAGTGCTTATAAGCGGGACGTTTCGCGAAGCCTCAGGCAGCCTTACTCGCCCTTTTCACGGTGTCACGCAGTTGCAACCAATGCTACACTTTTCGGTGGGATGGTAGCTAGCCTGAAAGCTAGCTCGGTTCGGTACTTACTTGCAACAGAAGTTGCAACCAATTTACTGACATCGACCCGTTTACGACGATCAATTCGTTGGCCACTGAAAAGTAAGGTAAGGTGAGCGCAAACATGGGCATGATCAGAGTTCAAATAGATACTCCAAAAGGAGCGGCAGTCTTGTACACAAACACGCCAGCTGTAGCTGATCGCGATGTGATCAATTTGAGTCCAGGTTTGAGATGCAGAGGGAGGACACCAGGTGGCACGTCGGAGATGACTGTGCCGGAAGTTAGCGCTAGTCAGAAACATGTCATGGTCTGTGCACAGTTGCAGTAGACGGTCCCCATTAGTGCGTCACCAACACCAGCAAGACCAGACGAAGTTGTCACAGGGTCCCTGCGTAAACGCACATAAAACAAGCCTTTTGAAGCGACATATGAAGAGCGAATTTGTAGTACTTCACTAGAGTCTTGAATATAGGACTCGGATAGACAACAAACGTCGATATTAAGACTTTCCAAAGACAGCCAGCTCTATCTGTTGTCCGATCCGCATTAATGTGCGAACGTTGAAGGAAGCCAGTTTGAATGGTGCACGTGGTTTCAGAAAAACTGTTTCAGTATTCGTATTCGGTGGTAGCATTGAATTTTCAACCAGTCAGTGACTCGAGATCGTTTAGATAGAACAGAATTTCTACCACAGGCGAGCTGCTGTATAAGTTGAAAAATAAGGATACACAAAGTGGGAATGAAAAAGGTGAATAAGTGACGTAGTAAAAAAGGAAAAAATATGGATGTGAATTGTTTAACTTAATCGAGGTGAGGATAGTATTTTCAGTAATTATCGTCATTTCATTTTATTTGTGTGTGGGCTGTGATACTGCCCGGGTGTCCAGACCGAAGTAGGTGATTTTCTTAGGGGGCCACACCCAAAGCCTTTGACGTAAAGGTCTGACCCACAAGGCAGTGGAGCAACGTTAGGAGATGCAGTCCCATGATAGCCGGTGACCAACGATTGGTTCACACGCCATTTGTTCCTTCAGGATACTGGAGACCATGTGAACCATTGGTTTGGAATCAAGGTTTTTCAACTCCTCTAGATGGATCCCCCATATCCACCAACCCGGTTAAAGCGCCGGACACTCGCTTTTCATCTTCTCAATTTCGTAAACAACAGTAATGTCGCGAGAAGGCAGTGAGTTGGACTTCCTTGACAGTGGTTGTATGCACGTGGCCATGTGAGAGCATTTCGAGAGGAAGAGCTGACTCTCCCCACCCTCGTTCGTACCAGGGCATTTGGGGGCTGGACACCACTTGAGGTTGCGAAATCAGATGACAGTTCGCTATAAGTTCTGACTCGACTAGTAGTGTTCAAGTAAGGAGCCTGCACATGGTTTATGTACCTCTAAGGTACATCTTTCAATGACAGGCAGTTTCTTTTATTAGCGTGAAAAGCTATCTGGTGTTATCTACAGTCGCTGCCTTTTCCATCTCTGCTCACCACCGCTCACGATTGTTCCTTAGACTTTTCTTTAACCCAGGTCTGAATTTTTTGTCACTCGTCATCGTGTTTGGAGCCTGATGAGATAAGTTTATGGGATTCAAAAGATGTCGCAGAAATCCACTGGTTTTTCGTGACCCTTCGGTTCAAATCACTAATAAATGTCTCTGCAGTGCTCAAAGGACAACTACTTGAGGCTGGTCACACACGACCTTTGTATGGGTAATTTTTATGTTAGCTCCGTACTTGTTCAGACCTTACCGCCGGAGACGGATATCCGTGGGATAAGACGAGGTGTGTATTTTTAAGGCCAACCTTTCCTAACCCCACCCGTCCTTGTGGGAAGGCAGCATCGCTGTTATGCTAGGTTGTCTGAAGGAAACACCTTACTGCCATCACACCTCTGTACAGTAAGCAATACGACTTCGCCATCGGACCTTTGGTTTGCGGCTTTTAGTCTTACCGCTCTTCAACCGACTTGTCTGGTATGGTATGACCTTGAGGAACGATTGTTCCATCCAGTATAGCCCTATTGGTTCATCACGATGAACAAGTCCGGCCACCACGTTAAGGTAGTAGCAACGGTCGATATTGATGCTATTTGGTACCAAATGAATTAGATCATTCAAACGAAGTTAACGATGGACATTTCACTTCTAATCATCAGACGTTTGATTCTAACTGACGTGTGATTCATAGCTCAACGAACAAATATGTACGTAGTTGGTGGCAACCTTCATACTTCTTACTTATTCAAGGAAAAAAAGACTTGAATGACAATCTTTCCTCTTATATAGTTAGGGTTTGAATTAAATGTACATAAACGACTGTTTTTAATCAGCGTACCTAAGCAAGCATTCAACGCTATTATTATTATTATTATTATTATTATTATTATTATTATTATTATTATTATTATTATTATATTATAGCATAATCTAGTTACAGAATTTCAATTCTCTTTATCACTATACACTTAATTTTTTATTAGCTCCATTTTTCTTAATTTCAAGTCTTAATCGATTTGTGGCTTATGATACGTATCACGTATTTTTACAGAAACTTCAAGTAATGCAAGAGGTCAGCCAGGAGATATTTTATTGGGGATCTCATTTTCATAGCTATACATTTACGATTGTCGTTACTTATATGATAGTCGGTTAGATTAATTTGAATTTTATTTCTTTTTCGAAGTGAATATGATTCAGTGGACAAGTTTTAAGCGTCCTCTGCATTCACACTTACTCATTGCACATATGTTGACCACTAACTAATTTAATTATTCATTTATTTATTGATATAACTCATTTTTGATTGTATTTGCAGGATATAACAAGGGTACCTCACTTTAGTCTTTAGCTACATCCTGATATGTTTAGACGTTTTAGCCTAATAATTTGTAGGTGGCTTTAGATAGAATTTTTCCCAATTATGATTGCTTGTCCCTTAACAGTTAGTTGGAAAAGGAGGTTGACGAAATCAGGCACTGATGTTACAGAGTCCTTTGGCCAAAACAAGTAACACTTACTTTTGAAATTGGCGCACGAAAACAGTACTTTTCTGCAATCTTGAATACTGGTCTTTTCGATTCAGGGCACATCAACAAAGATAAGTTTTAAGAAGGCTTCCCACTTTACACCAGGTTACGAATTTTCAAGTCAATAAGGCTAAATGACACATGTGGCTTTGTAGTAGTAACTGCTTTTGAAAAGCTAGTATTTAATGAATTTAAACCTGTCAGAACCTACAACAAAAATGAACTGCTGAATGAAAATATGGGAAACAAGAAAAGTACATTGATATTAAGTGATGTAAATCAAAGTTATTTGCACTAACTCAAAATTCTCTGGAGATTATAATTTTATTATGTTTTCAACTTTTATCACGATTACCTGCGATAAAATAAAAGTGGGTTTTTGAACACCGATGGTTAGTATTTTTTAAAGTCGTATAACAGTGCTACAAAAATATCTGGACAATATTGATGTTAATGGTTATGCTGCAAATATATTTATTGTTGGTATCTGAAATGTGACTTTCTGAATCATGCCTTGTAGTTCAGTTCATGAAAAATACAATATGGAACATAATAACATTTGATTATTATTTACTTTGTAGATAATTGTGTTTTTTTCTAGATTTTCATTTCTGTTGTGCCGTTTAAAAGCCCACACGTTTCATTACATCTCATAATAATAAAATATTCTAACAGTTGAGGGTCAATCAGTTCCTTATATGTTCTGTAACTCAACATTACATTAATGATGAATAAATGATAATGTTCAATGAGAAACTTTTGAAATCCAGTTGTCATTTTTAAAATTTTATGAAACAGTCTTCAGTCTCATGGGCTTGGTAAATATGTTTCAACTTTTAACCCACTTTAAACTATCCTCTTCTTTGAGTACATTGTTATAAACATTTTATTGTTTTTTTTTCAGATTTAGATCTTACATGTTCAAAAGTTAAATTTTCCATATCGAATGTCACAGATAATCAAAAGTCTAAAAATTCTGAATCAGAATTAGAACAGGTTTTCACCTATAATGATGATCTGAATTTAGATTCAATGTCTCAATCTGGTGCACTTGAATTAGGTGAAAGTCCTATATTCTACGATCGGAAAAGGGCATCACCTTCTATATTTTCACCTTCTCAACCACCCAGTCCGAATTGTAAACATCGTTTCACTAATTTACGTCGGGCACGCTCTCTTGCAGATACATCTCGTAAATTTCAGTTAAACTATGACGATGTAAATGATGTGATAAAAGACATTGGTAATAAAAATAACAAAGGAGAACCTTGTGATTTTGTGAAAGATGTTAATTTTACCAAAAGTGAATTAAAAGAAATGATAAAATTTGCTGAAAAAGATTTAGCTAATCTATTAAATTTAACCGATACCAGTATCCTGCATGAACATGTTTCACTTACCACTGTTTCGTCTGATTTTATACTTTCAAGAGAATGTGAAATGCAATTAGAAATGTATTATGTAATATTTGGAGAATTGAGAGCTTTCCAATCAACTAATGATGGATCTAATAATGATGTAATGATTGTTTTTGTTTGCTTTTATAAATTGAGGATTATTTAATTTTTATTTTCTTTTCTCATATGTTATTTCGATAGTAAATTTCACTTACACTTATAATCTATACGTTATTCGTTTTTTTGGTATATCCTTATTAGTTATGCGAATAAAGTACTTATGTTTCAATGGAACAACGGTTCGGTAAACTAGATTAGTACTACTGGTTTTCAGATATAAAGGTGTTTTATCATTTAGATTCATAATTCACATGTCTGTGCAAGCAGTATACCAGATCGCATAACGTACTACAGTTTATAACTTACACTAGGTATATAATTAGGTTTTGTTACAAATCAATGTGTGAGTCACTTATTGTTAACTGTTCTTCAATTGGTAAGTGGTATAACAATAAGTAATAGGTCGAAAGACAACATTCATATTAAACTATGTGAAAAATATGTCGTATAATAACTTTGCTAAATACTCATTAAAAGTAGACAAGTTGATCGAATAAGGAGCATAACTAACGAAGTTTCATATTTTACTTTTCACACTCTAACAACTAATCGATCATTGAGTATTGACCAATGTCGCGTTTGTTTTGTCCTTTTAGTGCTCATTGAACTCTGTCGATCAAGTTACCATATGGCAAGAGTTTCCGGCCAACTACCTTAATCTACCTGACATTTTCAAGAGTTTATGCAGTCTCTAATCGCCTAGATTACTGGCTTTACTACATCTAGCCCCCAAATGCCCTGGTACGAACGAGGGTGGGGAGAGTCAGCTCTTCCTCTCGAAATGCTCTCACATGGCCACGTGCATACAACCACTGTCAAGGAAGTCCTACTCACTGCCTTCTCGCGACATTACTGTTGCTTACGAAATTGAGAAGATGAAAAGCGAATGTCCGGCGCTTTAACCGGGTTGGTGGATATGGGGGATCCATCTAGGGGAGTTGAAAAACCTTGATTCCAAACCAATGGTGCACATGGTCTCCAGTATCCTGCGGGAACAAATGGCGTGTGAACCAATCGTTGGTCACCGGCTATCATGGGACTGCATCTCCTAACGTTGCTCCACTGCCTTTTGGGTCAGACCTTTACGTCAAAGGCTTTGGGTGTGGCCCCCTAAGAAAATCACCTACTTCGGTCTGGACACCCGGGCAGTATCCTACCCCTTACACAAATCGATTGAGGAAGTGTGGCGCATATAATTGGTGCCTCATGCCAATGTTTGTGTTCAAATAAATAAATAAATTGGTCATTAGAATTTGACTAACATTGAAATGACCGGATAAACCTGAAACTACTAACTACTCAACGATCAGCCAATTGTAGGTAAATGTTGTACAGAAAGTCGTTCGCGGCCCAAATAGCTCAGTGGGCAGTGTCTCAGGATATGAAGCTGGGTGATATGGAATAGAAGCCGCTAGTGGGTACCAGTTCCTTAAGATCATTGGTAAATTTTAGTAACGACTGCCAAATAGTATGAAACCTAGGTTAAGAGTTTCCTATCAGCTGCTTCCAACTACTTAATGTTTCCTCACTCTCAAACAAACATACTTAGCAGAAGTAGTCTTGATAAAATTTACCCATATAAATCTCAATGTAATTCGACATATTTTTTCATTCAACTGGCATCAGTAAATGCAAACCCATTAATAAATGATAAAACCATCAAAATATATCAAGTATGAAATAAATGATTAGTTAAAGTATAGTAGCGAAGTGTAGTTTTCAGTTTTAAATATGTATAATTGTTGCTCAGGATTTCTGTGCCGAAAATCCAAGCGTATTACTACTGCCTTGATTGGTGATAAAATAATATTTAAATCGCCAAGAAATCACGGAACTGAAAATCTGTATTTTAGACGCTATAGACATGTATTGATGTCTTTAAAAATATTCGATTAAACTAATCAGAGTATGGTATCCATCTTTCACTCCATACAATGTATCATCATTTCTGTTGTTTTGTGATTTATATGAAGAACAAGTTAAGATATTCTTTCATTGAATTATCATTCCTCTTTACATGATTTTTCTTCCTTTCAGTTAATAGAACTTCTTATTCAAGTACAAGTTTCCAAACCTAGCTTGCAGTCATACTTTTTCATTTTTGAGGTAGTAACTCGACCTGGCTTTCCAAGTATGATGGTTAGAGGTTCAAGTTGTTCTATATGTGTTTATATTGGGGCCAATGGTCATTTTCTCTGACCAGTATACAAAATTTGTCGATTAAATGTGTGTTTGACAGATTTATTTTCGTAACTAGATTATTGATATGTTCTCATGAAATTTAAGCCTTGCAAGTATTTTCCTAAATAAGAATTATAATTCCAAACTTTGGGAGCCTTATTGTTCCACTAGGTATTATGATTTTATTATTTTCATCTGCTCTTTTACTTACCATTCTGTGAACGGTTTATACGACATTGAACTCATTCTAGATACTTGAAGGTGGCTGTGTGTTTCTTGTAAATTAATTTGTATGAATGCGTGAGTATGAGAATCATCGTAGTTAATTTCTAAAAAATTAAAAGCACTTTTTATTATTTTTATTTTCAGTTATACAGTTTTGAATTAATTCTATTCAAATACTTGAAACCGTAGTTGAAACCTCACTTCACTTTTGTTTATTTAGCCAAGTAATATCATACTATCCATCAAACATGCAGCATAACTTAAAGCCGATTACAGAAAAAGCAGCTTTGTTGAATCCTTTTTTTTTAAACTAGACAGAATCGTGACTCTTAGCACTAAATTGAGATAATCAATTGATGTTCGCCTTACCAAATGCTAGCAATAGCAATGTAATATCTGACCAACCTATATAAGGCTCCCAATATCTCATTGAGACGTGTTCAGTTCCCAAATTTGAAGTTTTTCATATGATTGAATCACAAATAGCTTGATAAATTTCATGTCACCACATTCATATGGTTCGAGAAATTCAAGTACATACTAATGTTTATTTTGGCAGACTAGGCTGAGTCACTTTAATGCTGTACAACTAATGTATTCACCATATATATTAACGAACAACTTAGGTATGTTTTAATTCACTTTTCATCTACTATACATTCAGAACAAACGATTTAAATAACTAATGCTATCTCTGACAGCTACCATTGTAATACGATGTGTATTATTGCAGAGTGGAGGTGTATTTCGAGTAATATCAATGATTGCCCACTGAGAATCCAGACTTTTTAGGATATAAATCGAAGTTCTACGTCTAGTGCGAAAGCTTTCTGGTTAAAATCCAACTGGAAACAATGCCATTTATGACGTCAGATATCTTTGTTATCCCATTAGTTCTTTAAGAGATATATTCATTTTATTTTGTTTCAACTAACTATGTACCATTTTTTTTTAAATATTAATCTTCACGTGTTTAAAAATTATCAATTCAGTTATTGCTTGGATTATTACTCAGGTCATTACAATGTTTAAATGTGGACCGGGAAAAGCAGTTGGACTTTTGGGACTGATAACCGGTGAACCAAATATTTATGGAGTACAAGCTACTACAAAAACTATTGTAGCCGTTTTATCCCGTGAAACATTTTACTCTGTAGTTCGTCAATATCCTAAGGCTTTGTTCAGTGTTACTCATATTATTTCTTCTCATTTATCACCGTTATTTCATCAACTTGATTTTGCTATAGAATGGTTGTCTGTTAAATCAGGAAAGGCTTTATATAAGTAAGTAGCATCCAATCATTTTATAACTAAAATATGTTTTTGCGTTTAGTGTCTTTATTTATTGTTGTTCTTTTGTTATTATTGTACAGCTGATTGTATGTTTGGTAGCGAAAGTTTATACAGTTTCCACACCGATTTCGTAAACTGATTTACTCACAGGACTCAAGGGTTTTATTTATTTAGTTATTATTTTATCCGGTAAATGCATCCGAACCGTCACATAATTTATTCTGTTGAACTATGTTTATGATTCTTTTTTCATTTGGTCAATGGAAAATATTAAGTATTGGAAGAGAATACAAACAAGCAAGTAATATATGGTTATATTGTTATCAATCAAATAAACTGGTGTATACATTCTAAGAAGTCATTATTATTCTGCTTTTATGTATCTTTTCTGAAATAGTGTCCGTGTATTTGTGACGAAGCTATGTAAATAATGTACTCATATCTCAAACTGTTGTGTGTTATGTCGCTGTGGTCGTTAGGTCTCTGGATGTTCCACTCCCTTTGAATAACAGTATTTGATGAATGGATTTAGGTAATGGTGGTATGAATCTATTACCTGGAGCAAGACATCTCGACCTTGAGTATGCGGATGATATTGTCTTACTGTGCGATGATACCCAGGCCATGCAATCTGCACTTAATCAGTTGGCAATCAGTGTTCGTAGACATGGTATGTGCTATGCACCTTCGAAGTGCAAACTACTTTTACAAGACCGACGGGACCCTGATCCTGCACTCACCCTGGGTGGTGAGCAGATAGAGGTAGTCGAGAAGTCCATGTATCTAGGTAGCTACACAAGTGCTGGTGGTGGCGTGAGTGATGAGATGAATGCACGCATAGTGAAAACCAGAGAGAGGCTTATGCCAATCTAGGCCATCTTCGGCACCTTCATGACGTTAGTCTGTCTGCAAAAGATCGGATCTACAACGCGTCGGTGAGAGCAGTTTCGCGCTATGCTTGTGAAACCTGGCCTCTCCGAGTTGACGATGTTAGACGACTCTCTGTGTTCGATCATCGCTGTCTCCTAAGGATTGCTAACATCCAGTGGCAACACCATGTTAGTAATGCAGAGGTTTGGCATCGTGTGTTCGGGCTCAGAGACGATATAATTTACTCTTAGTGAATTGTTTCACTTCTTGTTATCATTATTATTTCATTCAGATTGTATTCCATTACATATAATGTTATTGTCATGCTTTTTTAGGAAAGGAGACATCGCAAATCATGTATATGTTGTTTTAAGTGGTCGATTAAGACAAGTCGATAATATGCCTGATGGAGGTCATCGTATAGTCAGTGAATTGGGGCGTGGTGATCTCGTAGGTTTTCTTGAAGTCATTAGTCAGCAAACACGAATATCTACAGTTATGGCGATTAGGTATGTGTATTGCTCTGATCTCGTCACTTAAATTAATTAACTTCTTAATCCCTTTTCTTCCTAGTGATAATGTACTACATTTCCTTGACTAATGGAAACATACCCATAATTCATGGTTGGTGTTTCTTGTTAAGATAAATACTTACGAATGTTAGTCATTTGCTTAACTTATACAAATTTTATTCTTGTTAAATCGTTTTGAAAAAGTAATATTCTGTTTCTGGATCCGTTTAACTAAGAATATCTACGTTCTAATAATTCATTCGAAACATATCTGTGAGGACAGTCCACGGATGAACTCGAGGAAGCCCTAAGAAGCTTAGAAAAAGCCGATGATATTCCATCCAATCATCTCTTGGGAGAATATTCCTAAGTCCCAACGTAAAGCTTTCCTATTGGACAAACGCTTATAGGCGGATTGGAGGATGATGATTTCGTTTTTATTAAAAACCTGACAGATTTGTACCATAATTAACACTGTTTGGAATACTATTCCTTTCGTTTGTCTTCTGTCTTCTCATTTGAGACTTTGGAGTGCTTTAGCGTCGGGTGATCAAGTTATACGCGGCATAGTAAGAATCTAGGCTCTAGATATAACAAATCTCCTACACTCTTGCAGCGTTTCTCAAGGGGTTTAGAAGATTACAGTTTGTTAGCATCTTCAACGGACAAAATTGTATCATTGATTATTACTCTAAACCACATCTGTAGATGGAGACCTAATGGTTAAAGCCCTCACGTTTGCCGTAATTTATTATTCGGAGTATTAGATTACATGGTCTTAAATCGGTAGCATTATTTCAGTTGCCCTCAGTATCTTTCTTCTAATTTTGATTTTACTGTTATTCCATACTTTTCATTCATCTATTTCATTTGTTTTCTTTAACTTGTATTTCTCATATTTGGATTGATATTTTGCGTAGTATCGTTTCCCCTTCTGTGCTTTTCATTTTATTGATTTTCTCTATCGGTTCCTATGCTGATGTTAGTTCTTTCAACTTGACGAATACATATTCATTCAGGATTGTTCATGGATTATCAGTAATTAACTAATTAATATAACATGCAGTAGGAACTATAGGCAAAGACGGATGATGGCTAGCAGTGGAGTCCAGGATGCTCATTTCGTCTTATCTGGGACTCGTCGGCTGGATGTATCTGTATCCTAGTGTTGATGTTCACTCCGGGACTCGAAACTAGTACCATTCACTTTAAACACCATCGCGTTATCCACTTAGCTGCTGAGTGATGATAGCCACTAGCTTGTGCGACGGGATGAAGTTTAAATTCATTTTATATTGTTTATTTGTATCTTCTCATTGATGTTTAGGACTGCAATTGATCAGTCTCTTATTAGTATATATACATCCTTTGCGGATTGCCTCGATATTGCCTTAAGTTCGCAGGATGCACATATGCCAATAAGAGACTTATTAATTGCAGTCCTAAACATCAATGAGAAGATTCAAATAAACAGTATAAAATAGAACTTCAGTATTAATTATAATAATTGTTTTTCAACAACCTTTAATGATGAACACCAGATAAAGTACTATTTCCTTTCGAAATATTTAGTCAATAATAATTTTAGTGTAATTTGGAAGAATAACATTCAGATGATTATTTGATAAGAATACACGTGTTATAGCAAATGATATTTATTTAATAAAATTCTTATTTCATTTTATCACGGATTATTGAGAATATTGACTAATAAAATTTATTTACCTTATCATTGAAAGAATAAACTAATTATTATTTCAATAGTTGAAATCATGAGTCAATTGAAGCTAAAACACCATGGAAAACCAGGGAGCACTCGACGGCCGTCTCGTCCTAGTATGGGACTCCTCAGCAGTGCGCATCCACGGTCCTGCCCCCAGCGAGATTCTAACCCAGGACCTATCAGTCTCGCGCGCGAGCGCTTAACCGTTAGGCCACTGAGCCGGCATCCAACGGTGTTAATGTCTAACTTCAACCAATCCACGAAATCGCGCCACCGTACACCATCGCCCCCAAATGCCCCGGTATGGCCGAGAGTGGGGTGGGCCCGCCCCCCTTTCACATGGCCACGCGTATAGAGCCTCTGCCAGGGAAGTCCTACTCACTGTCTTCTCGTGGCGGGGGTGTTGTCTACGAAAATGAGAGGACGTAAAGCGAATGTCCGGCGCTTTAACTGGGTTGGTGGGTATAGGTGATCCATCTAGGGGAGTTGAAAAACCTTGATTCCAAACCAATGGTGCACATGGTCTCCAGTATCCTGAAGGAACAAATGGCGTGTGAACCAATCGTTGGTCACCGGCTATCATGGGACTGCATCTCCTAACGTTGCTCCACTGCCTTGTGGATCAGATCTTGAGGTCGAAGGCTCGGGGTGTGGCCCCCTAAGAAAATCACCTGCTTCGGTTTGGGCACCCGGGCAGTATCACAGCCCACACACAAATAAAATGAAAATTTGTGTGGCGCATATGTATTTGGTGCCTTCTTGTACCAATATTTATGTATTCAAATATTAATAATAATAAGAACCGTACATCATCGTTTATTTTTTTCTTATATAGGATAAATAGATTTTATCTTTGTTAAGAGTAAACAAACAGATAGGATGTTAGATCAATGAATAAAATAAAAATAATGCATATTTGTCGTTTAAATTGACTTTTCAATGATATACATTTAGATTGTATTTCTTTACAATTGTCAACTTACTTACGCCTGTAACTCCCAATGGAGCGTAGGCCGCCGACCAGAATTCTCCAACCCACTCTGTCCTGGGCCTTCTTTTCTAGTTCCATCCAATTCTTGTTCATTTTTTCTCATATCTATCTCCATTTCTCGGCGTAATGTATTCTTTGGTCTTCCTCTCCTCCTTCGACCTTGAGGATTCCATATGAGGGCTTGTCTTGTGACGCAGTTCGGTGCTTTCCTCAATGTGTGTCCTATCCACTTCCAGCGCTTCTTCCTGATTTCTTCCTCCACTGGGATCTGATTTGTTCTCTCCCACAGTAGGTTGTTGCTAATAGTGTCCGGCCAACGGATCTGAAGTATTTTGCGTAGACAACTGTTAATAAACACCTGTATCTTTTGGACGATGGATTTCGTAGTTTTCCAGGTTTCCGCCCCATACAGTAGAACTGTCTCGACATTTGTATTGAAAATTCTGACTTCGGTGTTGGTTGCTAATTGTTTTAAGTTCCAGATATTCTTCAGTTGTAAATATGCTGCTCTTGCTTTGCCAATCCGTGCGTTGCCCCCAAATGCCCTGGTATGGCCGAGAGTGGAGGGAGTCCGCTCCTCCTCTCGAAATGCTCTCACATGGCCACGCGTATACAGCCCCTGCCAGGGAAGTCCTACTCACTACCTTCTCGTGGCGGGGGTGTTGTTTACGAAAATGAGAGAACGAAAAGCGAATGTCCGGCGCTATAACCGGACCCCAAACCAATGGTGCACATGGTCTCCAGTATCCTGCGGGAACAAATGGCGTGTGAACCAATCGTTGGTCACCGGCTATCATGGGACTGCATCTCCTAACGTTGCTCCACTGCCTTGTGGATCAGATCTTGAGGTTGAAGGCTCGGGGTGTGGCCCCCTAAGAAAATCACCTGCTTCGGTTTGGGCACCCGGGCATTATCACAGCCCACACACAAATAAAATGAAAATTTGTGTGGCGCATATGTATTTGGTGCCTTCTTGTACCGATATCTATGTGTTAAAATAAAAATAATAAGAAATCCGTGCCTTTACATCTGCATCAGATCCACCGTGTTCATCGATGATACTGCCCAAATATGTAAAGATTTTTACATCTTCCAAAGCTTCTCCGTCAATTGTGATTGGATTGGTGCATGTTGTGTTGTATCGGTGACACCAACCAGAAAAAAATTATATAAACCATTTACAATTGTCAACAAGGAGTTTTACGCTATTTTGTGAGAATACATTATGAAAAGATTGTTTCTAATATTCTTTTTTTTGCGATGGTTTTGTAGCTAGTGATAATAGTATTCTGCATATGAACAATAAAAGTTTCATGATTGAATTATCCAAGTTAAAGAATGAAACTTCATCAAAATCTTAACTTCTTTTTTTATCTAAAAAATAGTTTATACGTCGATTGGTGGTGATAAAAATATTTCAAATATAAAGTTTAATCTTTATTTATACATTTATGAATAATTTTCTTTTATTTTTAATTTTATAAAATAGAGATTCAGAATTGGCTCAAATTCCTTCACATTTACTTCATCATCTTAAGAATAAAGTTCCACAAGTTTTAACTCGTATTATTCAATTATTATCAGATAAATTATTGGGTAATTTAACAACTAGTTCTAGTACGGCTAGTCAATTGGGCATGCCACTTCTACATATGACTAGTACAAATTCTTTAGTTACCGGTGGATTAGGTTATACAACTGGTGGAAATTCTAAATTGGATGTTTTATATAGTCCATTGAATAGTGGTGTTATGACTAATCTACGTACAATTGCTATATTACCTACTACAACTGACATTAATGCTGAAGCATTCACTTTGGAATTACAACATTCTATGAGTTCGATGGGATCATCTGTTCGTCTTACTTCAGGTACTTAGTGATTTTTCTACTTCATTATAATTTCATTTATATTGGTAAACTTGAATGGGTTTCTTCTACATTTGTTGGTTTTCATGTGTTGACAAATTGACAGGTTTATTCTCGTTGATAAATTGATTTCAATGAGATTTTGTGTTATCATTATTTATTGAATTTGAGTACTATTTCACGTATTTTTGTTGTTAATTTCCTTCATGCTTAGTACGAATATCTTGTTTGCCCTATTCAATTTTATAGGTTTTGTTTAGTTGTTGAGATGATAAATAAAACACTGGTGGATTTATAATCCTACATGATGCAATGTGACTGAGTAATAAACTCTAACGAGAATGAATCCTCTGGTTTTTTGTATTCTTCAAAACTATCTAACATCTTCAAACCCTAAATTTCCCGATTACTGCTTATACTCTTACCACCTCTACCACTACGGGATTTGGGTCGACAACTGCATCTCTGTGCTAATGGGGTATGGCAACTCGAACTGATGTACGTACGTACGTACGAAGTTTCACGTTGTTACTGACTGACGACTGACTGACTGATCTAACTTCATAACGATAAAAAAGAATGAAAAATTTGCCATGGGTTACTGAGTATATTCTTTTTTCTGCTCTTTCATACAACAAGATTGAACGCTTTGTTACGAAATTATATGATAAAATAGAAATGATTGGTAGTTACTGGGCATGTGGTCAGTTCACATGAAGTACTATCCAAAGGTTTTTGAATATAGAATGAGTTTTGGAATCAGGTTTCTGTACGCCTTATTGATTCGCATACATAAAAATAGTTCTGTTTGAGAAGTGTAAAGCACTCATTTTTACATCATTTTATGGTAAATTTGCTTCCTGTTGATCGGTATATGTGTCCTGTAAGAAATTTGACCTAAAGCTTCAAATAGTCGATTACTTTTCATCACGGACTGACACTAGCTTCGGAAAGTAGTTGAAAACCAATGTGTATCACTTAGTCGTTTCATTTTCTAGCTTTAATCTCGTCGAAGGTACACAGCTATCGCCCTTCTGTAAATCAAGCTCGTTCAACATTGGAAACTAACTTCAAACTGAGTAATATCCACATACTCCTACATTAATATTAAAATGTTAACTAGTGGCTAGCTTTAAGAATTATCGATGTTCCAGTAAAGAGCCTTGAGCCATCGAGTTCACGTATATCAATATTATGACAGAAAACACTGATTGGGTTAAATGATACTGATGCTACGTTTCAAGTTGACTGAATATTGGTATCTGACTGAATTGTTTAAAAGCTTTGTGCTCCCAGCAAGACCTGTAGTCCCTGCTTTCCTTTCTTTCTGAGGTCGAGAGTGAGGACTGCTGCGGAGTTCCAAATTGGGACAGAAGAATTATTCTGTGCTCTATGATTTTCACTGGTTCGGTAACATATTTCAATTTATGATGATGAACAAATTAAAAATGAACTATCCCTAAGGAATCAACTGCTCTTTTAAAACTTAGAACTTCAGTACATTTTGATGTATAAATCCGAATACTATTTTTCGGGCCTTATTCAATTTACTTATCATACATAACCCAGTAACTGTGTATGATTACTTAATAGGTTTATTTTAAAGTTTCGAATTCTATGTGTGAGTTACAGCAACGATTATTTCTATTAAAATGAATCCTTTTAGCACGCAATAAGTAATTACAATTTTTTGTATCCATTCATCGTCCCATAAACTAAATATTTAGGTACTTATTGACATCACATTTAACATTCCTTTCAATAATTACAAAGTTATTATTTAAATGTATTTAATAGAATTTAATATGCTAACACCAATATCCATTATTTATACATAAGATTATAATTAATTATTTTCAATAAATGTATTCAATAATCTGAAACTTTTGTGTTATGGTATGATTTTTCATTTTACTTTCTATTAAATTATGTTCTGTGTTATTCGATATATGTATGTAGTATATATTTATTTATAGTGATGTACAAATGTTTACAACATAATGGTGTGCATAGTTTAACACTTTCTTATCAGCTAGTGATCGTGTCACAAGTTATTAATATTCACGTGGAAAGTATATATATATATATATATATATATATATATATATATATATATATATATATATATATATATATATATATATATATATACAGTGATGTTTACATTAACTCGTTTTACATGCGTATTGTTTTTGTTATTTTTTACATCATTCAAGCAACGATAATACGTAGAATGCCATTGTTTTTCTAAAGGTCATATTCTACAGATAAACATTGATTGTGGTTTGTCTTTTTTAGTTTATACAAAGTTGAAAGTGATGATTTTGTAACGAGAACAATGCTTTTGAAATTAAGAAGTTTAAACGATTACACGTAGTGCATTTATGCATTTTTCCTCTCCATCCATTGTAGCCCAATTTTTATAGTCATATAATATGTGGTTGTCAGTCTATAATGGATTTTACTAAATGTAAACTGAACATATTCAAGGTTAAATCTAATTTAGAACTTGTACAAAGATGTTGACTAATAGTTGGAGCATTCAACCGATAGGTCTGAAGCTCTAATCTTGTTTGTTTATAATTGCTTATTGTTACTGTTATAGTATAGCCTACTTTAGTACTTTTGAATGAGATTGTAAAATCTTAAGGAGGGACATTGATGGTAATTCGCTTAATTTCTGGTTGTCATCAAATATCAATATTACGCTTATCAAACATCTAAAATCATTCATTTGTCCTTGGAAAATGTTATAATCCCATTCAAAAAATTGAATGCATTCTCTGCAAACTTTCGATGTCTGTTTTCGCAGTTGTCACCTATTTAAGAACATGTATTTTTCTTGGGTAATTAAAACAAGATTAAACTAGCTTAATTTAAGTCGAATATCTCTTTTATCTCTTTGGTATTTTAATCCTTTTTCCTTCACTAAAAATAAATCCAATTAGATTACTTATTATTCGACTGATTATTTTCATATTCTACACATCGATTTTCATTAAAGTTTATAGCCAATGAAATAAGACGGATTTGTCCATAGTTTGCGATTTTTGATTATATTTTGCTCTCTCCTCTTTCTCACAATTGCTATGAATAATCTGATTAAATGACCACATTAAAACTCACTAACTATACTGATTCGTTTTATTTATAATTACGATTGCGTGTATTTATTTGTTTAATTTTTCAGTTCCTAGTTAAAATATTATACCCATGATAAACTAGAATAAAACACTTTAACATTGGTTATCATCCATATTATCGTCATTATTATGAGTATGGTTATTCATAAAATCTTAATTGATGTTAGGCATTTGAAGATATTCAAGAAAATCTTAAGAATTAAAATTTAATACTAATTGCAACTCATCGATATGGTGTATCTGAAACGCTAAAAGGGTTGTTGTTCCCTGTTAATTTTGAACCTATCTTACCTAGTGCCAAAATCACTGATGAAACTACTGATATAATCTGGCTGTAATTGAATTTCTGTAGTAGGCCACTAGTTAGTCTCCTAGGTGTGGCGAGTCATGTCCCTCGAAAATCATAAGTTTGTACAAGATTACAGATACTCCTTGCTGGCAAATACCAACTAGTCTGAAACTATAGTATATCTCCTCTTACTGATTTCCCCTAATTGTCTAACCCTAAATAAAGTAGAATTCAATGTGAGACACATCGGTCAATGTTCACATTTCTACTTGATCAATAGCCGCTCTATAAACCGTTAACAGTATATAATATTGAATTGGTTACTATTTAGTGGTCAATTAATGTATCGTCCTTTCCTAATAATATTCTTTAGCGTTATATGTACCTAATAAAAATGATATATAAACTGTCATAAACCCAACAAACTAGTGTTATATTATTTATTTCTGCTAAGAATTTTGTATAAACTAATATCTTTACTTTTTATTGTTTTGTACATAGATATCGTACTGAAACGTTTAGGTTCATGCGCATTCGATAGCATTAACCAGTATAGACTTAGTACTTGGTTAAGTCATCAAGAAGACTCACATCGTATTGTTTTCTTCGTTTGTGACTGTCAGCGAGTTTCAGCCTGGAATCGTATATGCATTCGTCAAGCTGATTGCATTTTGGTTTTAGCTTTGCATTCGTCTGATCCAGCGCGTCCCTCACCAATAGAGATGGCATTAAAAAATGATCCAACAAAGGTGAGCCCGTTTTTTATGTAGTGTAATGCTGGTTACTTGTACGTTTTTCATATGAATAAAAAACATCATATTTGTTGTTTCTCCTTTACATAGGTTGCCAAAGTGCTTATTCTTATGTATCCTTTAGATACAGATTATACAGAATCCGGTAAAACTGCAGTATGGTTAAATGCTCGACCATGGATTAGTCAACATTATCATATACGTTGTGAACCTCGTGTATTTATACCTCGTTCAAAGTTGAATCTCATCAATTTTTATACTAAAGTATTTGCTCGTGAAAAACCTAATCCACTATCTGATTTCTCTCGTCTTGCTCGTTACATAGTAGGTGAAGCTGTTGGTCTTGTTCTAGGTGGTGGAGGAGCAAGAGGTTGTTCACATGTTGGACTGATACGTGCTTTTCAAGTGAGCAATTGCTTTTTTTATTACTTTTGATAACATATACATATGCTTTACACTTCAGTAGTAATGTTCATAATTGTAATTGTAAAATTTAGTAACTGCTATGTTTATATTGAAATTATTTTTTAAGAAATACTACTACGGTTGCTACTAGTAACTGGTGATGTAATGTTTCAGTAAATAAATACAAAAATAATTTTAAAGTTTTCACTTAGTTTAAGCTTTTTTAGAAATACTTATGAAAATGTGTTCCTTCTCATTGTATCACAGACTAAGAAATAGTTTCATATTTCCATGTACATTGTAATTTCATAATTTTCCGTCTTTTAATAATATATCAAAAATCAAAGCAATGATGTCTTTAAAAAATGGTACAAGTTTATATTCTGTTGAGATACCAATATTGTGTTTTTCAGACACTCCTAAAGCTTATGGTGTATAAGTAGCTATCTAATAATTCTCACTTGTTAGTAACCTATTAATGTAAATAACAACAAAAATAGATGGGGATATATTAATATTTTAATGAATCGGTATACCATTAAAACGGACTTACTCTCTCTATTTGCATCAGTCATTCAAGGATTTTAATTTAACGATTTCTTGTAGAGCCCTGTAACTACTCTGGATTACAATTTTATTAGTATTACAAATTATTTGTATCAATACGAATGTACATATATTGGATTTATGTTTTAAAACCGATTAATTCAGTATCATGTAATTGGTTTATGTCTTTTTGTAGTCTCTTCTTATAAATGTGACCACAGTGAACAAACGTAGTCGTCACATAAAAGATTTCAAAAGTTGTTTTTATCACCTCAGCCTGAAATTGAAAAACCAAGAATGTCAGACAGTTGTTTCGTCTTAGTTTGAAACTCTTAAATAGTAGACATCCACGATTTCACATGGAATCAAATCATCCAAGATCTCATGGCGAGAATGGTAATGTCACGTCAGTGATTCGAAACCCCTTAGTCTATATATACAACTTTACTTATTGAGTAACAATCGTATAAAATAGGTAGCTTATTAAATGTTTTATATATGTTCCAATAGTTATATTTTTACTTTTGTATCAGTTTGATATTTGACTGATGTTGCATTAGGATTTTTCTAAAACTATTCATTATCATACAATTTGTTTTTTTTTTTAATCTTTAATATGATATCTATAATAATGATAGGATATTTCTATTTTATATATTATATGGTAAAAATTCATCAGTTATCATAATTTTCATTGACATCTACTGATTTAAAATGCATCATAGATAAGCTATAAATATTATCGACTAAATAAATCATATTTAGTGGTATAGTTTTAATGATATTGTTTATTGTAGTAAATTATCAATCTATTATACTGTTTTATAGGATGTAAAATATTCTTAATTACGCATTAATACCTGAATTGTACGGGGAATCATTAAACTTTTTTACTTTTAAGATTGTACAGGTAATTGTGTGACTTTTTTATATTTAGAGATGATATTTATTTTTAAAAATGTTTTATTTTTTAGAGGGATATTTAAATACTCATAAAAACTGAATTATTTATTACCGTATTGGAGCTTGTGGAATATACATAACTATGGTTATTTGTAATTTTATACAGGTTGCTAGTCGAAGTCAGAGAATTCAAAAGAAAACTAAATTGAAATTCTTGAGTGAAATAACGTTTTTCAATGATATATGATAATCTCGTTTCTGTGTAAAACAAACTTCACTTAAAAATTGATGACCATATGACCATAGAAAACTTGTACTAAAATAATGGTATTACTTATGATATGAGCGGTATAATTACTGTTTTGATTTATCATTAAACATGCTTAAAGTTTGTAAGCGTCACGTTTTGTTATTATGATATCTTTTCGATAAATTTCACTTTAATTAAACAGGAAGCTGGGATTCCAATTGATTTAGTTGGTGGTACAAGTATTGGCTCTTTTATGGGTGCTTTATGGGCTGATGAAACTCGCGTTGCACAGTTTACTCAAAGAGCTAGAAATTTCACTAACTGTTTCAATTCCATATGGAAGAAAATAAAAGACTTCACTTATCCTGCAGTGTCGATTTTTTCTGGTAAGAACTTGAAGTATATATTACAGTAATGTTTACATGAATACTTATAAATATTGGGTCAATCAAGACATTTTATGTGGTTGTTAGATTTTTACTGTGTACATCAATGAGTGATCGCTATCGAAAACCAGAAATCATTGGACTACTGTTTCGTTATAGTGTAGAATTCTCCAGTAGTGCTCATTCACAACCCAAACAGAGGTGGAACCCAGGGCCTTCGATCTCACGCCATCGATCACTTATTTTATTTTTTATTAGTGGTCTGACTAAAATCAGTTCGTGTTGTAAACTGTACGAACATAATTATTGTAAAAGAGATACTGCAGAATGAAAAAATAAAATATGTGGAAATTCGTAAAATTCTTTATTATGTCTTACTCAGCTAATGATGAGACAAGACTATTACTAATTCCTTTCTCATACGGAGCTTAGGATTCTCAGTCATAATCCCTGTGATTTCTATATTGGAAAGGTGATATCGAACCCCACTATTGAAAGTTGAAAGCGTACGGTAAATCTCTACAAATGCTTTGTTTTGTCTTCACCTTGACCACTATAGACCAAGTTAAATAAGACAGAGTTGTGAATTGGTTTTTTTCAGACCCTTTCTAATCCACAGTTGAAGGTTTTCTCTCCAGAAGCAGCTGAATTCTTAAATGCATACAAATGTGGCAAAATCAAATAACTTTATTTGTGGAACCTTCATAGGTCAACTAGAAAATGACAAATAGATGTTAACTGTATTGAAAACCCTTTTCACTGCTCTAGCATGTCTATTATGCAGCACATCTCTATCTATGTCACCGTCAAATTTTAGCTTTATATTAGCAAAACGAGAGACAATTGATAAACATTCATGTTTATGATAATATAAATCCATTTGTTTTTATTATATATAACAGTATCGTATTGCTTGCCTAACTAAATTTCCTATATTGGTGGTACACTTGTACTATTTCCTAAAATATGCTTACTGTGTGTACACAGTAGTTAAATAGCAGTTTTATTTTTTTCATATTTATTCTAATTATTTACACAGAATCAGTAAATAAAAACAATTGGGGTTTGAACATCCCTAGGCTAAAATGTATATATGTAAGAATTACTTCGTTTATATAGAAAATTATATTCTTATCATATCAGTTAAATAATTGTTTCCTATTATTGATAATTTTAATATCATGTGTTGCAGAGGATTGAATATACGATTTTTCTGTTATTTTAAAGAATTAATTTTTATCCAATTGGTTAAATAAAGAATTTCATTTATTCATTCATTCAATGATTAAATTTTATTTGCAAAATATTTTGTTTATCAAGTAGAAACTGTTAATACAATATGTTAAAAGAGTAACATATTCCATGCTCTCTATAATCATAGTATTAACTATCGTCTAATATAATTAAGTACAGAATGTTTCGATTCGTTTTCCATTTAGATAACAATAGTTATCAATAAATAGTACTTTGATTTCATTTCATATTGAATCATTTTATACACTCAGTAAAATGTATTTGATTAGGAATAAATCAATATATTAGCCTGTATGTTGTTGAAGAGAAAGCAGTAAAGTGGAATAAATTCATTCCATTATGCAAATATTGCTGTACTTGTGTTGTCTGTGGAGGGAACTAATTGTTTGGGTTTGGACATGTGTTTCATACGTTCATTTACCTATCTCTGTTAGTACATTACTTGCAAACTGGAATATGAATAATTTTCGACAAGTAACCAGGGTCTGGCGGCCAGTATTCTTCGATAAAGTCATTATTTGTTTATTCTAGCTTTTGCCAACATTCTACACAGGATCTACACTAACATTGTAATATACGGGTTAAGACGTTAGGTAGCACATGACCCGAAAACAAGTCGTATCCACGCACTTGAATTCTTTACTTATCTTAGTTGAAATTTTGGGTTGATTGCCATTCCATAATTTTCATTCTTCAGTTTTATTCGTCGATTTCGTCCTATAATGTTTAGATTTGGTTTTTGATTGTGATCAATTTCATTGTTTCTGCTCATTTACTTGTAATCTTGTTAACATTTTGTGTCTATATATATATGTGTGTGTATTTTGCCAATACACGTTTTTACTCGATCTTACGTTACCTATGACCAACCGACTATTGAAAATCAGTTACATCTGGTGAAATTAATTAATCTATTATCCTTATATGTTTTTTTTCTATCTTGACTTTATTAGTGAATATGAGCTAGCTCCGTAAAAGAGATTTCTCTTATTATTTATTTTCTATTTTATGTTATCACTTGTGAAATTTTGAACTATCAGACTTTTTTTAAAAGTGAGAAATGAATTTTCCTGGCTATTCTTGTAAGATATTAGCGTTTTGACACATCGTTATACTTAATCGCTTTGCGATTTGTTTTTCAGTGTAGTTAGTATTTTAATCAAATCACTATTGCTTATGTATATTAATTAAAGTAAATAATTTCAATTAGACTGTTTATTAGTTACGAAATTAATGAAATATATTCATTGTTTCTTAGGCATCAATGTATATTTTCCAGGTATTTTACTATTGAAGTATGTTTTCTGTTTGATATTTTTGTGATCATAATATGTATTGAATTATTTGAAGTTGGGAATATAAAGCATAGTATTTCATTTTAGTGGCCTAGAGGTATCACGTTCTCCAAGCGACCCCAATTTTTTGTGTATTCATTATTTTCAAACAATGATACTCTGTAATTTTATTTTAAATGCGTTTTTTTTTGGTGGAATATATACGTTCACTTGTACATTTCATGAATAAAGCAAATTAAAATCTTAACATTATTCAGTAAATTCTACAAAGTCAAATGATTTCTTACCCTCAGAAACAGTTTAAAGAGGTTACATGTATTGTTTACTTCTCTATTTATACGTTTATTGTCATTTTTTTATAGGTAAAGAACTTAATCGTCAACTTCAATCGACATTTCATGACCGTCAAATTGAAGATTTTTGGCTTCCTTTCTTTTGTGTAACAACAGATATAACTAATTGTAAAATGCGTATTCATACACAAGGTAAAACTAATTTATCACATAGTAGTGATTTATTTTGGTTATATTTACTAGTTGTGTAATAATGTTTGGAAGCCATCGTGATGTAGCAGTATTTTTTACTGACTGATTTTGAATGGAAATGTTCATGTGTATTTTCAAACTGTCTGGTATTTACGAATCTTCTGAATAAACAGTTGGTTGAAATAAGTTATTTAAACTAATCGTATACGCTTGTTTAGTACCTTTAAGAAAAAGGAACTTCACTAAATGATGAATTCAGAGGCATAGGTTATCGTCCAATATGATTAAGGTTTGTATTTCTCATGACCGAGTTTATTTTGTGTTCCATACAATTCGTTCTGTTTATGAATCTGAACAAAGCTAAAAAAATAATCAAGGCTGAATAAAGTGGATTCGTTATATTTTGTGGTCTCTCTTCAGGATAGTATAACTTGAAGTTATAGACAGTGTTCATATCTAAAAATATTTCTAAAATTAAACGAACACTTTATAAGTTAATAGAATGAACTACTTGTACTGATACAATATATACTTCTGAATTAACTGGTTTAAAGAATCACAGAAAAATCATTCCAGTTCACTCAAAAATTGCTTAATTCACTGTATTAATTTATTTGTGACTTTTAGTATGGACATTAGTATCTGTTAATTTTTCGTTTCTTTTTGTATAATCCTGTGTATAGAAGCTCACTGATTTATTAGAAATAAGTGTATTCGATATAGCAATTGTTGTGTTGTCAGTCAGTATCTCATCATAATATTTTCTTTTACTGAGAGCGTTTATCACGTTCTAAACCTATTGGTTGTCATCTTATCTACGGAACTTATAATTTGACTTCTTTTCTAATCAAGTGATACATATAAGTTGAATAACCTGATATGATTATGGACATCATATCGTATTAAATATATGTGAAATAACATCATATTTATTTTATTTAATATCACATAAATCAATATATATGGTACAAATGAAAATATCTGATTTCCTTTGGACGTTTCATGAAATTCAGTGAGCACTTGTGTTTGTATTTCTATGCTTAAGTGGTTGTATTGGATTAAGGAAATGTGGTTTTTATTATTATTCTAATTTTTACCTATCGTTGAATGAATTGCTCGTTTTAGAATTTCACAATTAGAATACCTGGATAAAGTAGATTCCTTAAACAGATTAAAATTTGAACAATAAAGCATCCACTAAAATGACATCTTTCAGGTTTACATTTACTTAGTAGGATATATTAGTAGTCATATTAGATATATTAGATTTCATAAATTTATTTTAGATCCATTTTCAATTTATTGTCCGATTAAAGACTACCCAGCTGTTCTATGTACAAATTTTATGATTTTCCATTTCTAAATTAAATTTGAATACTTTATGGAAGTTGACTTGTTTTCTATCACTAGAGTGATCATTTCTCTTTCTGTTCTATAAGTAGCTCTTTTTGTGAATCCACATTCCTGGGAGTTTTTCAAAAGTCGTTTTTGATACTTTTCTTTGTAGTTCCTTTCAGGATTAGTTTCTATATTTCTTATCCTACTATATTTCATGTTTTATTCCATGTGATTTGTTTTGCCTGCTGTCAATCGTAGACGTTATTAATTCACCTTTGATAAACTATATAGATCGGTAGCTTATTTTCAACAGAATAATAATGAATTTTTCATATCTTATTCATAACGACACTATTTAGGGTCTGTTTGGCGTTACATTCGTGGTGCTATTACATATCCACCATTGGACCCACCCATTTGTGATCCATATGATGGTGCCTTACTGGCTGACGGTAGTTTTTTAAACAATGTCCCAGGTAGTGTTACTGTAAAACAATACCATCAAAATCATAATTTATTTCTCATAACTTCAAAATCATTTCACTAATTCATGGTGATTCACAAAGAGCGACATTATAATATGTAATTCAAATAAGATTTCTAATTCAGTAACAATAGATAGCATGCCCGTAAAATGTAATCTGTTTATATTCACATATGCACAATAAATAGATGTCTAATAATTGAATCCGCTTACTAATCTTGCTATAAGAATATTGCTTTTTAACAGTGAATATCTATCTACTTATTTATGTTTATGGCCTAAAAATTAAATAGCTTTTTATTTTTTTCATTTCTTCCAATTGATTTCAATTAAACATTTATTGTTTCGAATCATTTTCACGCTTATTCACACTTTTACTTATTCATTGATTTATTAATATCTATGTATGATGTCTCCGCATACACATGATTCGTACATACACATACATGTAGGATCGTCTTGGAGATATGTACGTGCAAGCATGTCATTATCTGGTTATTTGCCACCATTATGTGATCCTTACGATGGAAGTTTATTGTTGGATGGTGGGTATACTAACAATCTACCAGGTCAGTAATTTTTTATACAATTTAAGTAATATGTTCAGTTTTAGTCGTGATCTGTAAGTTTCAAATAAGAAAAAAATTAATTTAACGGTGGTAATTATTTGATTGAATTTAAAATCCAAGTGTGTAAAATCAGTTAATAATAATAAATATTTATTCACTTTTATTGAACAATTTTTTTCGTATCATATGTGATACTATCAGGAATTATAGGGCGGGACTCGAAATATCTTAAATTAAATGACAACTCATACGTTACATTTATTTTCTATAAGAATCAATTTCTGAAATGTTCTTTTCCCGTTTACTAGTGATTATTATTTTCAGTAAATTGGAAATACTTCCAAACGAATATCAAACTTTGTTGATACACTTAGACTGCATTGTATGGGATGTTCTTTCGGTAGTAAAAGAACACGCATATCCACACTATCAATCAGCTTGTTCAAATATTTTCTTTCGGATAGATTTAGTAGTAGTAATATTAGTAGTCTAGTAAGTTGTTTATATATAGTTAATAAATTTGTTTTTAGTCAGTCAGTCAGTAACAACGTGGAACTTCGTACGTACGTACATCAGTTCGAGTTGCCATACCACATTAGCACAGAGATTCAGTTATCGTCTCAAATCCCGTAGTGGCAGAGTAGTGAAAGTATAAGTAGTGATAGGGAACATTAAGGTTTGATGATGTTATTTAAGGAGTATAGTCCAGTGGAATAGATTTAGAAAGTAAATAAAGGACATGAAGAATTCAGAAGATTAGAGTTTGGGAGAACACAAAGAGTGGATGCACCTGCGCCATTGCAAACGATTTTGAGCCATGTCATTCAAGGTCTCTAACCATCGGTTGCTATCATCTCGTGGTCCCCAACCAGGTAGTCTACACCTACCAACATGACTCAGTCCACTTCTCAGTGACTTCATCGATTTGTGCCATGTTTTGGTCTGGTCGCCCCTAGCTTTCTTCCAACCTATTCCTACACCATAAAACATCCCACGTCGTGGCAGTCGGTGGTCTGGCATGCGCAACACATGTCCCAGCCATCTCAACTGATTAAGTTTCACTACTTCGTCAATTGATTTGCCATCCTTACCTAGTACCCGTTTCCTAACAACTGAGTTACTTACTCGGTGGTCCCAGGATATACGAGCGATGTTTCGAAGACACCTATGGTCAAATACTAGTAACCTACGAATATCCTCTACTCTTACCGGCCATGTTTCACTGCCATAAAGTAGGACGGAACGAACTGCTGCGCAGTAAACACGTCCTTTGGTTGATAGACGGATATCTCGCCTACTCCACAAATGACGCAAGTTGGCAAAAGCTAGTCGAGCCTTTTGTATCCGTGCTGAGATTTCGTCACACACCAAACCACAAGGGCTGATGAGACTCCCAAGATAAGTGAAGCGGTCGACACGCTCAACAACTTCACTCCCTATTACTAGTTCGGGTGCCGATGCAACCCAATCCTGAAGCAACATTTTGCATTTCGAGGGAGAAAATCGCATGCCGAACATGCATGCAGTGTTGCTTAGAGTGGTCAGCAGACTCTGCATTTTGTCAGCGTCTTCACCAAATAGAACTATGTCATCGGCATACTCTAAGTCAACAAGTGAATCTCCCGGTAAAAGTTCAACTCCTGGAAATTTATATGAGGAAAGTGTTATTTCTAAAAGCACGTCAACGGCAAAGTTAAACAAGAACGAAGAGAGTGGACAGCCCTGACGAACACCACTTGAGGTAATCAGTTCTGATGACAGTTCGCCATAAGATCTCACTCGACCAGTTGTGTTCGAGTAGAGAGCCTTTATAAGGTTAATGTACTTCTTTGGTACTCCTTTCAGTGACAAACACTGCCATAGAACCTCACGATCAACAGAGTCAAATGCCGCCTTAAGGTCGAGAAATACTACCATTGTGGGGCGTCTGAATGTGTGTCTATGTTCTAGGACCTGACGTAGTGTGAATATTTGATCAATACAACCACGTCCAGGTCGAAAACCAGCCTGGTTTTCTCTAATCTGCATTTCACGAGCTTTGGTTAGACGTCGAAGTATTATTGAAGCTAATATTTTAGACACTATATTAGTCAAACTAATTCCTCTGTGATTGTTACAGGAGGACTTTTGTCCTTTCTTATAAACTGGCACAATCAGTGATTGAGACCAGTCAGATGGGATTACGTCCAGTTCCCAGATTCTATCTAAGACCTCAATCAATCTCGCTGCTAATACTGGACCGCCATCCTTAAAAATCTCAGGGGTAAACCTGTCAGGGCCTGCTGCTCTCCCACACTTCAGATTTCCTATAGCTTTTTCAACTTTGTAAAGAGTCGGAGGACTTACATCAACTTGCCATTCAGGTAGATTGGAGATCATGGGAAACCCAAGTGTGGCTGAAGGCCAATTGAACTGATCCCTAAAGTGTTCTGCCCATCGATCCAATCTCCTGGATTGAGAATGAATAATATGTCCATCTTCCTCTACGATTGTTTCGCTAACAGTTTGGTTCCTAATACCGGTTTCCTAAACAAGTCTGGACAGTTGCCTACTGTTACCTATTGCCGCTGCCTTTTCCATCTCTCTTGCTTTCGCTACCCACCACTGTTCACGATCATTGCGTAGGCTTCTAGTCAGCTTACGCTTAAGCTGACTCCGCTCTTCGTTATGTTCAGAGCCAGATGGAATGAGTTTTCGAGCATCTATCAGTGCGGTAGACGCTGCTGAGATCCAGTGTTTCTCCCTAACCTTATGATTTATCGTACTTGCAGACATCACTGCTGTTTCCACAGCTTTTCGGATGTCATTCCACACTGCCTCGGGGTGGGCATCACTTACATGGCTGCCTAACTGTTTTTCTAGATGTTCCTGAAATATACTCTTATCTTGACTATCATTAAGTAGGACCTTAAGGGGTTTCCTTGCAGCATGTTTCCTACGTCCAGTAAGACGTAGACAAATACGCGCTCGCACTAGAGCAGAGCCCAAGGGACAACTGCTTGAGGCCGGTCGCGCACGGCCTTTTTGTGGGAGGTTTTTAATGTGTTAGCTCCGTTCTTCAAAGGGCCTTACCGCCGGAGACGGGAATCCGTGGGGTAAGGTGAGGTGTGACATTTTTATGGTCAACCTTTTCTAACCCCTTCCTTCCTTGTGAGAAGGCAGCACCGCTGCAGATGCTGGTTGTCCTAGGGAAACACCTTACTGATGTCAGACCTCTGTACAGTCAGAAGTACGACTTCGCCCTCAGACCTTGAGTTGCTGCTTTTAGTCTTACCGTTCTCCAAACGACCTGCCTGGCATGGTAGAACCTGCAGGAACATGTGTTCCAACCAATATAGCTCGGTTGGGTCATCACGATAGGCAAGCCCGACCACCACGTCAAGGTAGCAGCTACGGTCGGGAAATTTGTTTTTAAATTAGTAGCGGTTCTAATTTTATTATTCTGAGTTTTCTTTGCTTACAAAATCGTGGTGGATCTACGTCCATTTTTAGGATGATAGTAATATGACTTGGTGCATAGCGTATGTTTGCAATAACTGATTACTTTCGTCAGTTTTGTTTAATATTTGTTCTGAAGTACTATATATGATTCATTAGCCAATACTCTAACAGACTTTAAGAAATGTATAATAATTCCATTCATAATCAGTAGTATCCTAATTTGAAGTAAGCCTAATGGTATAATGGGGTAACGACATGTTACATATTTTCACTATTTTATTTAGTAGACTACTAGTATCGTTCTGATTATACCCATTTTTTTATCGGTAATTATTAACAGAAAAAACCAACACATTAAATTTCTTAATTTATATGGCCTAGTTTTTTGGTTCATTTATTTTATGGCAGATATTTGTTAATATATAAATAAATTTTCAGTTAATCTATTTGGATGAACTTGTTTAGTTTTGGATTTAAACTTAGCAATTATGGATTATTCAGTGAATAAGATTATCATCCGCTTATAAATATAATTGCAAAAAATGACAATCCAGAGGAGATTTGGTTTTCATATGACAAAAATATGAACCTTAATATCATTATAGATCAATTGAATAGTTGTCATCAGTCATTTAAGTTCACATTTAAAGCAGAAGTGAATTTAGAATTTCTTTTCCTTGGTATCTTATTGAAAAAAGGTCGGATAGTTTCTTACAAAGATCTGTATACACTCTACTAACTTGGATGGCCATTATATGAATTTGCAAAACTAAGTCCTTTTAAACACTCATAAATGAGTGTCCATCCAGATTCATGAAACTTTTAAGGTCTCAAAAACGCTTGTTCGTTCAATTGTCTTTATTTTTTTCTTCAGTGACACAATTGATTTGCTTCGTTGAATTTACAGAATGTCCGAACAATATTCATCACTGGTTATCAATTTCGACAAATGATCTTTAAGAGTTTTGTGTATAAAGTTTTAATTGCATTTGGTATGGTCAGTGTGTAGCGCAAATAGTTTGTAGAAATATATCTTTGAAGATATTCTGCACTTCCAAATTAGGTTCAATTACTTCGAACAATTTGGTGATCCCGTTCAATAGTTAATCACTAAATAAGCCAACCAATGTTTGAGCAGACAATAAATTTGCATTGATTGAAGTTAGACATTAACTGTTAGATCTTGTCTCAGTGGTTTAGAGGTCAAGCGTCCACACGAGACCGGCTCTGGGTTCGATTCCCGCGTTTGGGGTTGTGGATGCGCCTTGTTTAGGGGTCCCATACTGGACAAAACGGCCGTCCAGAGCTTCCACGTTTTCATTAGTGACCTAACATCGATCGGTTTATGATCCTAAATAAGTTCATAAATGCTTATAACATTAATGATACATTGTTTCACATTTATTTACTCGCTTCATTTTCATTCAACATTTGTTTCGCTTTATGATTCCTCTGAGTTTACTTGGCATTCATATTTTATTTTGTCTAGTATCATTTAACTTTACCGTCATCATCATCTTGTGCTTTGATTTGTTTGAATACTAATCGATGTCTGATTTAACGAATTCATTTCAATTGTTTAATGCTTATTTGATTGAATTCTTTAGAGCAGTATATATATATATATATATATATATATATATATATATATATATATATATATATATATATATATATATATATATATATAAGGTTTATTATAATAGAATAGACTAGAATACAGAATATTTAATTGCATGTATCATTAATGAGCATTCTGGAGATATAGTTATGCATGACTTAGAGAATCCTTTTTAGAAAATATCACTGTTTACTGGTGTACTACGACTTCAGAGTTTCATTTGCTGATATTTTCCTTGGTTAAAACCAATTCAGTTATTATGATCGCTTTCGAATCACACATACAAATTATGTTTACTACTGCCATACTTTTCTCTCTAGCAATACCGAATTGTAAACTGCTGAATGTATTATGTTAAACATTTAAATAGTATAGGGTTAAGGATAGTGTTATACTTTGTGTGTGGTAATAGTATTCGCAGTTTGTTAGCAAAGCAATAGATTTAATTTGACCGCTTATTTCGTTTCAAAAAAATTCCATGTTCATTACTTATTTAATACAGTTTTGTTTTAATGAATTGTTTTGTTTCATTCAGCTGATGTGATGGTATGTTTTGGTGCGAAAACGATTTTTGCTAGTGATGTTGGTGCTGCTGTAGAGACTGAGCTTACAAATTATGGTGATCATTTATCTGGTTGGTATTTGCTATACAATCGATATTTCAGAGTTGGAACTCCTGTACTACGTGTAAGTATCCAAATCAATCTTTTTTGAAAGCAATAATTATTTTATTCGTAAGATATTTTTTTAAAATTTGTCGTTCGATGAGTCGGAAAAAGAAATCACGTTTTGCAGTCATGAAAATCATTTATTATTTTACACGTTTACATATATTTTAAATAGTACGTATCCACTTATTAATTAACATCAGGTTACCAATTACCAGTGAGTTGTTATGTCCTAGTGCTGATAGATTATAACTACTACTTGCGGAAATTAACGATAACTTAAATTCAAAAATTACACAATGATGTATTAATATCATTGAAAGTTCTAACCTAATCCACTTCTCGCTTGTATAGTCACTTTTGAAATGAAATTTTTTCTGAATTAATTCGAAGTAAAATTTGATAAAACGTAATGATTTTGTTTCCAGTAAATGTTTGAGTTTGCCGTTTATATACAATCCTAGTAGTACTTATTTCAATTTCGAATCGTACTTGATGACATTTCAAGTCACTTAATCATCTTATATTTTACGTCCCACATACATAGTGATGTTGGATAAAGAATTTGTTATTAAACTACGTCGTATAGTGACTATTTTTACAATCGTTGCCAACGTCAGTGTACGGTTGTAAAAATATAAATCTCAGAAACATCATTTTTCAGATATATTCAGACACTATTTCTTATTTAGTTGTTAATAAAAATCAATTGTATAGGTAACCACATGTTATTTGATCTCAGTGTTGTAAATAAATAAGTATGATACAACGGACATTTGCCATTGAGTACAAAGATGTTGGGATGGCCTGTTCGTTGTTGCTACCTTGACGTGATGAGCTGAGCTATACTGGCTGGAACAACCGTTCCTCATGGTCCTACCATACCAGATAGGTCGGTTGAAGAGCGGTAAGACTAAAAGCCGCAAACCAAAGGTCCGATGGCGAAGTCGTATTGCTAACTGTACAGAGGTGTGATGGCAGTAAGGTGTTTCCTTCAGACAACCAGCATAACAGCGATGCTGCCTTCCCACAAGGAGGGGTGGGGTTAGGAAAGGTTGGCCTTAAAAATACACACCTCGTCTTATCCCACGGATATCCGTCTCCGGCGGTAAGGACTCAACAAGTACGGAGCTAACACAAAAATCACTCATAAAAAGGTCGTGTGTGACCGACTTCAAGCAGCTGTCCCTTGGGCACTGCGGTCACGCTCTCAGCTCACTAAGACCACCTCTAATCCAATTTCCTTTTCAGGTACCTCCAGAAGAACACTTCCACGGTGTGGGCAACAGGGAAGTGATAACCGCCCTTATATCTCTAACAGCACTCAAGACCACTGTATTCATAATCAACCTCCCTCTTCAATTCCTATTATTCCTCCTACATCGATTTTGAAGTCTAAACTTCCTCTTTTGGCTTTCTCCTCAAGTGTCACCACAGCCAACGATTCTTGTGCGCAAAATACTGTCACAGGTCTACTGAAACCTTGCTCCGAACTACACATTGGAGCCTTCAACGTACGCGCACTATGTCAAATCGGTCAGCAGGCTTCCTTGGCTAAAACCTTAGAATCTCGTACGATTGATGTATGCTGTGTCTCCGAAACATGCATACAGGATCCTAGTGTGGTCATTCACTTGACCTCACCTCGGTAAAACGGAGAGCCGACGAGATCCGTGTATCTGGCGACCCGATGGCTAGTTCTCGTGGACTGGCAGGTGTAGGCATAGCACTAAGCATGAGGGCGGAACAAGCGCTATTAGAATGGATCCCCGTAAACAGTCGTCCATGCGCTGTTCGGCTAAACGGCTCGGTAAGAACTCGGAAGGATAGGGACACACGTCGTTGCCTCTTCGTCGTTCCTGCCCACGCTCCCACTGATTGCTGTTCGGATGAAGTGAAAGATGAATTTTACAGAAAGCTGTCTGAACTTCTTCAGAAAGCTAAACGTTCAGACATAGTACTCGTAGGAGGTGACTTTAATGCCCAGGTAGGTAGCTTAAACAAAACAGAAAGACATTTAGGTGGGTATTTTAGTATTCCGGCACAGCAAACATAATGGTGATAGTCTGCTGCAACTGTGCTCAGACAATCGTTTATTTTTAGCAAACACAAATTTTAAGCATAAGGAGAGACATCGTGTAACATGGCGACCCCATGCACCAAACCAACGATGGATTCAAATAGACCATATTGCCATCAGTCATCGTTGGAGAGGGTCAATAGAAGATTGTCGCTCATTCTGGAGTACCTGCTTGGACTCCGACCATGTCCTAATACGAGCACGCGTATGCTTGCGCCTCACTGGACGCAAAAGAGCCACACAAAAAAGACTCATTAGAACCGAATTGAATAGTGACAAAGCCAAAAGTAGGTTCCAAGAACAACTGAGGTCACACTTAGGTAGTTCTGAAAACGAGACTGACCCAGATGTTGCTTGGAAAGTTATACAAGCAGCTGTGGAAACAACAGTGACATCTATTAGTGATTTAAACCACAGGGTTACAAAGAACCAATGGATTTATTCAACGTCTATTGCACTGATGTATTCTCGTAAACTCATCTCATCAGGTTCTGAACACGATGAAGAGCGTAAAGAAATCAGATCTAGGTTAAGCAAAAGTCTAAGGAACGACCATGAGCAGTGGTGGGCAACGAAAGCAAAAGAGATGGAAAAGGCGGCGGCTATAGGGAACACAAGACAACTCTACAGACTAATAAAAGAAACTGGAATTAATAAATCAAGTGTAAGTCAGATTATTTCGGAAAAAAACGACACTCTCATCTGCTCCCAGTCCAGACGTTTAGAACGATGGGTGGAACACTTTAAGGAGCAGTTTAGCTTACCTTCAGCTACTCTACAACTACCCTCTATTCCCAGACAGCATGAATGGAAGATTGAAGTAGGTCCCCCAACTCTAGCTGAAGTTCAAAAGGCTATAGTTAATCTGAAACGAGGAAGGGCAGCAAGTCCAAATGGATTGGCCCCAGAGGTCTTTAAGGATGGCGGTCTAGTTTTAGCGATTAGGTTGACTAATATTTTAACTAAAATCTGGGAGTTAGACGTTATGCCATCTAGCTGATCACAATCACTTATCGTCCCAATATATAAGAAAGGGTCAAAATCATCCTGTGACAACCATAGAGGGATTAGTTTGACTAATATAGTATCTAAAATACTAGTCTCGATAATTATCGGACGTCCAACTAAGACTCGTGAACTGCAAACACGAGAGAATCAGGCTGGCTTCAGACCTGATCGTGGCTGCATCGACCACATATTCACCATTCGTCAGGTTCTAGAACACAGGCGTACTTATCGGCGTCCGACAATGGTGGTCTTCCTTGATTTAAAAGCAGCATTTGACTCTGTAGACCGAGAGGTTCTGTGACAGTGTCTGTCATTGAAAGGCGTACCTCAGAAGTACATAAACCTTATGAAGGCTCTTTACTCGAACACTACTAGTTGAGTGAGAGCTTATGGCGAACTGTCATCTGCTTTTGCAACCTCAAGTGGCGTCCGTCAAGGCTGTCCACTTTCTCTATTTTTGTTTAACTTCATCATAGACCTACTGATGGAAATAGCGTTCTCATCGACTGAATTCTCGAGCTTCGATCTCCTACCAGGAGGTCCACTTATTGACTTAGGATATGCAGATGACATAGTCCTGTTTGGTGAAGACGCTGATGAAATGCAGAGTCTTTTGGTAGCACTGAGCAACAATGCCAGAATGTTTGGGATGCGCTTCTCTCCCTCTAAATACAAGTTGTTGCTTCAGGACTGGTCTGCGTCAACACCTGAACTAAGGATGGGGGGCGAAGTAGTCGAACGCGTTAACAACTTCACTTATCTTGGAAGTCTGATCAGCCCTAATGGGTTGGTGTGTGACGAAATCTCAGCACGGATTCGAAAAGCTCATTTGGCCTTTGTCAACTTACGTCATCTATGGCGAAGGCGAGATATCCGTCTATCAATTAAGGGACGAGTATACTGCGCGGCAGTTCGTTCCGTTCTACTATATGGCTGCAAAACATGGCCTTTAAGGGTAGAAGATACTCGTAAGTTACCAGTATTTGACCACAGGTGCCTTAGAAATATTGCTGATATCTGCTGGGATCACTGGGTAAGTGTTAGTGAGGTTAGACGCAAGGTATTAGGGAATGATGGTAAATTAGTTGATGAGGTTATGAATCTTCATCGACTGAGATGGTTAGGCCACGTGCTGCGTATGCCTGAACATCGATTATCACGACGCGCAACGCTAACCGGTGTTAGGGATGATTGGAAGAAAGTTAGGGGCGGCCAAACCAAAACGTGGCATCAGTGCTTGAAGTCACTAACTTCTGGTCTGAGCCATGTTGGTAGATGCAGATTGCCTGGTTGGGGTCCGTGTGACTATTGTAACCAATGGTTGGAGACTCTTGGTGACATGGCTCAGAATCGATCACAATGGCGTCGGTGTATACACTCTCTGTCTTCCTTTAAACTAAGAGATTGAAACCACTTCAAATCTTTCGTTCTACCATCTAATTCTTTCTTCCTGTACTATCTCCTTATACACAATCTGTCTTATATATATTACCACCACTGAATTAACTACTTCTATGAATCCGGTGTTCATCTTGTTATGTTGATGCGGTATGGCAACTTGAACCGAGGCATATACGTGCCTAGTTCATCATGTTTTAGTGCGTAGGCTGGGATACTGCCCGGGTGTTCAGACCAAAGCAGGTGGTTTTCTTAGGGGGCCACACTTCGAGCCTTTGACCTAGAGGTTTAGTCCACAAGGCAGTGGAGCATCGTGAGGAGATGCAGTCCCATGGAAGCCGGTGACCAAAAATTGGTTCAAAAGCCATTTTATCCCGCAGGATACTGGAGCCCATGTGCACAATTGACTTGGGATCCGGTTATAGCGCCGGACATTCGCTTTTCGTCCTCTCATTTTCGTAAACAACACCCCCGCCACGAGAAGGCAGTGAGTAGGACTTCCCTGGCAGAGGCTGTGTACGCGTGGCCGTGTGAGAGTATTTCGAGAGGGAGGGCGAACCCACACCACTCTCGGCTATACCAGGGCATTTGGGGGTTAAATAAATAAATATACGTGCCTGGTCCTACGTTGCAGCTGACTGACTGTTGGGATGGATTCTCAGTTGTCTTACATGAATGCTGAAACTATTCTCACTGAAGAGTTGTACACATAACGTATTGTTTTGAACATTCTGTTTGTTGTGTTTTCTATATATAGGAAGAAATGCGCGTCCTGGATTCCACTACTAGACACACTCGACCCATTCCATATTAACTAATGGTATAATAGCCGTATCGAACAATCCGCACAGAATCAACATATATGCAACAGAGTATGCGTTAGACCTGACCGTTGCTGTTACCTTGACGTGGTCGTCGGGCTTGCTCATCGTGATGCACCAATAGGGCTATACTGGCTGAAACAATCGTTCCTCAAGGTCCTACCATACCAGATAGGTCGGTTGAAGAGCGGTAAGACTAAAAGCCGCAAACCAAAGGTCCGATGGCGAAGTCGTATTGCTAACTGTACAGAGGTGTGATGGCAGTAAGGTGTTTCCTTCAGACAACCAGCATAACAGCGATGCTGCCTTCCCACAAGGAGGGGTGGGGTTAGGAAAGGTTGGCCTTAAAAATACACACCTCGTCTTATCCCACGGATATCCGTCTCCGGCGGTAAGGTCTGAACAAGTACGGTCGTGTGTGACCGGCCTCAAGTAATTGTTCCTTGAGCAGTATAACCATGCTGTCAGGTCTGTAAGAACAACTCTAACTTCATTTCATTTTCTGTTACCAATAGAAGAACCCTCCCGCTATGTGTTAAATGGGCACCAAATACATATGCTCCACACGATAACGACGAGAATGTGAAAAGAAATTATGTAAAGTGCGTATGAGAAAAAGGAGAACAACAATAAATAGAAATTATCGTATGAGAGTGAACTAATAATAATAATAATAATAATAATAATAATAATAATAATAATAATAATAATGAGAGAAAAACTTCAGTTATCAGAAGTACAGCCAGAAAGAATTCTTTAGGTTAAAGAAGTTACAACCACTTTTTACAAAGAAAGAAAAGAAGGTTACAGCAGGATCTCCACTGGCTTCTATTCTGAGTCATATCTGATAACGTCTCTAGCCATTGTGTTGTACCATCTCTCGGACCCCAGCCAGAAAGTCGAGATGGACCAACAGAAGCCAGTCCTTTGCAGCTTTCTTTCATACCACGACACCATGTCATGCACTGACCATCTCTCCGTTTCTCCCAACCAGTCCCAGTGTCCGCAAATAATGCACGACGTGGAATTCTCTGGGACGACATTCGTAGAACATGTCCAAGCCACCGAAGTCGGTGTTTCAAGATGGTGACACCAATTGGATTATCGTCTCTGAACCCGAACACACGATGCCAAACCTCTGCATTACTAACATGGTGTTGCCACTGGATGTTAGCAATCCTTAGGAGACAGCGATGATCGAACACAGAGAGTCCTCTAACATCGTTAACTCAGAGAGGCCAGGTTTCACAAGCATAGCGCGAAACTGCTCTCACCGACGCGTTGTAGATCCGATCTTTTGCAGACAGACTAACGTCATGAAGGTGCCAAAGATGGCCTAGATTGGCATAAGCCTCTCTCTGGTTTTCACTATGCGTGCATTCATCTCATCACTCACGCCACCACCAGCACTTGTGTAGCTACCTAGATACACGGACTTCTCGACTACTTCTATCTGCTCACCACCCAGGGTGAGTGCAGGATCAGGGTCCCGTCGGTCTTGTAAAAGCAGTTTGCACTTCGAAGGTGCATAGCACATACCATGCCTACGAACACTGATTGCCAACTGATTAAGTGCAGATTGCATGGCCTGGGTATCATCGCATACTCAAAAATGAACTCCGTGGTCATAAATGAAGACATAACTACCAACTAACTGACTGAGTTAGGAATGAGGAAATGGAAGTTGTCATTTACGTATAGAGTATCAAAACAAGAAAGTTTGACTGTGAGTTATTAGGAAAACATTTGATCATCAATATTAGTGATAACCTTAAACAACCAATAATGCTGTGACTCTTTGTATTGTATCAAGTACTGTGCTACATCGTTGATTATCAAGTTGGTACTGGATATTGAGTTTATGTAAGTGGAAAGTTTTAGATTTGTGGCTCACGTCTCGAACTGAATTTTAGATTAGGAAGTCATTGAAAACCAGGAAGGACTGGACAGGTGTTTTTAATTTATCCGTACTGGTTATAACTTCGAGAAGTTCCCTGAGTTATAGTCAGAAACCATATTCAGTGGAGTATAACCATGTCCGCCATAAGACGATTTTCACTAATGACAATCAGCGACATTCTCACAATGTCGCTCGCTAAGTGTGAGTAGAGTTTTAAACGATAGGATGCCAACTCAATGGTTTGGTCAGTCAGTCATTCAGCTGCAACGTAGGACCAGTCACATATAAGCATTGGTCCAAGTTGACATACCGCATTAGCACAACCAGATGAACACCGAATCCATAGAAGTGCTTAATTCAGTGGTGCTAATATATGAAAGAAAATTGCATATAACAAGATAGTACAGGGATAAAGAATTAGTTCGTAGAAAGAAAGATATGAAGCGATTTTAATCTCTTAGTTTAGAGGAAGACAGAGAGTGTATACACCGACGCCATTGTGATCGATTCTGAGCCATGTCACTAAGAGTCTCGAACCATTGGTAAAGATAGTATGAGGGCGGTTATCACTTCCTTGTCGCCCACACCGTGGAAGGGTTCTGCTGGAGGTAGCTGAAAAGGAAATTGGGTTAGAGGTGGTCACAGTGACCTGAGAGCGTGACCGCAGTGCCCAAGGGACAGCTGCTTGAGGTCGGTCACACACGACCTTTTTATGAGTAATTTTTGTGTTAGCTCCGTACTTGTTCAGACCTTACCGCCGGAGACGGATATCCGTGGGATAAGACGAGGTGTGTATTTTTAAGGCCAACCTTTCCTAACCCCACCCCTCCTTGTGGGAAGGCAGCATCGCTGTTATGCTGGTTGTCTGAAGGAAACACCTTACTGCCATCACACCCCTGTACAGTTAGCAATACGACTTCGCCATCGGACCTTGGATTTATTGCTTTTAGTCTTACTTCTCTTCACTCTACATCCTTGATTACTGTTCGTGTGGACTGAAATAAAGTAGTCTGCATCGATCAAATATAGTTAATGTCTTCATAAAATACGTTTCCGGCTATTAAATAATTCCATTAAATCAACAATAAAGTAATTTATTTGTACAAAACTTGTATTTGAATAGAATTTATTAGTGTATTCTTTTTATTGTCAGTTTATTTTATTTATTTATTTATTTTAACACATAAGTATAGGTACAGGGAGGCACCAAGTACATATGCGCCACACGAATCTCAATTGATTTGTGTGAGGGCTGTGATACTGCCCCCGGGTGCTCAAACCGAAGCAGTTAACTTCACTCATATTATCTATTCCAAAACGAAATTAGATTTTTCATAGGTTTTAGTTTACTATGTGCACATATAAATAAGTACTCAATTTTAATCGAATATATAGGTATCAATACCAATGTTGAACTTGCTAGTTTCAAACAAACTGAGCATTAAGTAGAGAGTTATCCTAATGAGTAGAAAAATTGTATTCCTGACATTTCATGACTTAATATAAAGCACCTTCAGAGTAAGTGAATAACCGATTATTTAACAAGTGTTAATTGTTTTGATTTGAAAAAATCTCTTCATAACTAAATTGAAGAGAATAGAGATAGGTATCATGCATGTTAGTAAAATTTACTGTTTTCCAAAATCTCTGTTTTTGTTTCCTTGTATGTTTTCGCTTATCACTTTGATGTCTTTTTCGCATTTTAGTCTGAATAACAAATCGATGTGATTTTCAATTATATTTATCGAATTAATTTTGCCGTTGTTGTTATTGTTCAAACTGTAGATCCCGAGTCTAACGGAAATTCAGGCTCGTCTAGCTTATATTTCTTGTGTACGACAATTGGAATATATAAAAGCCAGTGGTATATGTTTTTATCTTCGACCACCGGTTGATAAGTATTTAACTCTTCAATTCTCTGCGTTTGATGAAATAGCCGTGAGTTATTTGCTTCTGTATTATTATCATCATCATTATGAGTATTTAGTTGTGTGAATTTCGTATTAATGAAATATATATATATATATATATATATATATATATAATTTACATTCTGGAAAAATGATAATTACAGAATTCACGCCAGTTTACAGGCATGATCAATTTGATATAAATAATATCATAATATGTACAGAACAAACATGTGATATGAGTTTATAGTTTACTAGTTCAGTAATTGTTTAGGTATTACAGCGATCCAATGCATCAGCCAGGAACATTTAATATTTCTTAACTGGACAGTCTGTTGATTTATGAACGGTGTAATTAAGGTCATTTCGTGTGCCAGATCGATTTAATGATAAATATCTACAACTAGAGAAATTAAAACGAAAACAGAGAGCGCGGAACAACAAAGCAGTAACTACCGAAATATGTCAATCAGATCTATGAAAATGCGTATGTCATGTGACACAGTGATATACTGTTGATGATATTCAAATTAGTTAAACTAGCTGGGGACGGTATTAACATAAAGTGACAGCAAGTTGGTGGTTTTATCCAGAGAATGCACTAATAAAAATGCCTAAACATTTAAAGTTCCTATAATAACACTTGTGGAGTGAGATACACTTGCAGGTGCTAGAGCATTCAATGCATTTTCGGAGGAGCAGTATGCATCGATGCAACGTACAAATAATGGGAGTGATTTTATCGTACGGATATGTTGTGGTAGGTTATTCCAGAGTCTAGAAAATTTACAGGCAAAGTAATTCATGTAAAGAGATGATTTAGAACAAGTTTGTTTCACAAGTGCCAAGGAATTACGGGTTTCATAATGAGGAGTTTCTGCGTATTGAATTACATGATTGGATGTAAAGGATAATTTATTAAGTAGTTTGAAGAAAAAAAAAGATTTAGTTTGAGTCTCCTCTTCCATAAAGGGTCTAGCTCTAGTTTTTTACATCTAGAATTATAAGTTAAGGTACAATCAGCTCCAAGAATACTAAGTCTAAATCGTCTCTGTACTGATTCCAGCCTTAATTTACCCTTTATGCGCGCACTGCTAAGAATAAACGTGCAATATTCTAGAAGAGGTCGAACACAAACTTTGTACATTAAAATTCGTGATTCATTGTTATGAAGGTTTCGAATTATGTAATCTACTAGTCGTTGTGACTTGGAGGTCTGTTTCGATATCTGTTCTTTAAGCGATAACTCTTGGGAGTATCTAAGTCCTAAGTCTACTACTTTATGTAACCTAGATAACATTTCTCCATTTATGGTAAGGTCTAGGTTAAGTGATGTATCGCCGAAGCATATCCATCCACATTTAGCCGTATTAAGTTCCAGTTGCCATTTTAAGCACCACTGTGCTACCTTGTTAAGCTCCAAGTTAATGCAAGTTTGCATATTTTCCAGCTCATGTGGAGAAAATGAATATACTAGTTTAAGATCATCTGCATATAGAAGGGGCTTACCTACACAAAAATTTTCACAAATGTCATTGATAAACACTAAAAAGAGCAAAGGGCCTAAGACACTACCTTGTATTACACCACTTCTAACAGGGACAGCGTTAGACAATGAAGAGTTAATTTTAACTATTTGATGTCGATTGCTGAGAAATGAATCAATCCAATCTAGCAAAGGATTTCGAACCCCATAAGATGCATGTTTGCCTATAAGAAGTTGGTGGTTAACCATGTCAAAGGCCTTAGAAATGTCCAGATATAGCACTAAGACTAGATATTCTTGGCTACGTAGAGAGTAGACTAAATTAAAGAAGTCAAAATGACATGTCATGCAAGATCGATTTTTGAGAAATCCATGTTGAGTATCATTGATAAAGTTTCCAGCGAGTAAATAGTTGGAAAGTTCATCACTTACAATTTTCTCCATAATCCTAGAGATTACTGGAGTAATATTTATTGGCCGATAATATATATATATATATATATATATATATATATATATATATATATATATATGAACACAATCTCAGTTTAAGATGCAAATTATAAATTAATTTATCAGAACGGGGTTTTCTGGAGATTGTAGTATTTTAATATTATCAGAAACTGTGATCAGTGGAGTTCAACCGTATCAAGTGTGAGGCACTTACCCACCGGAGACGATGGAAGGTGGTCGCGCAATATCGTGGATTGATTGAAGTTAAACATTAACACTGTTGAATACCGTCTCTGAGGTCTAGAGACTAAGCGGTCGTGCGCGAGACCGAAGGTCCTGGGTTCGAATCCCGCGAGGGAGATCGTGGATGCGCACTGCTGAGAAGTCCCAGTACTTCCAGTTTTTCCATGGTGGTCCAGCTTCTATTGACTCATGATCTCAACTATTGATTTTAATTATAAATTATTTGTGATATTCCTTTCTCATATTGAGATTATGTCCTCATATGTGTTATCTTATTACCTCTGTTTGATGCTAAGAGGTGACTTTTACCTTTCAGAAACTTTAGAAAACATTAAATTTGGTCACAAAAATGATTACTTTCCAGTCAAATTGTAATAAATGATCCTTACTTTTTCTAGATGTTACTAGGATTTTTCTTATTCGATGCCTCAGTAAATGAAATTTTAGTTTTGTTTAAATGCTCATTCCAAAGTGCTTTCTTTTATGTATCAACGTTAAAATATTTCTGCTCCCAACTGATTCATCATAAGAGAATAAATCTATTGTTTACTATCACTACGAGGTTTCAATATTTATCGTCAGGATCGTTCAAGCAATAAAAAGAATGTGTGGCGGCTGTGTAGCTTCATTCGTAAATACGAAGTGGTATCGATCTACTTTTGCGTGTTTTAGGTTTTAAAACGATCTTTTTAACCGTGTAACTTTAAGATGCCGTCCAAAACACTTGATTAAATACAATCATGTTCATGTCAGCAACGTCCACGTGACTCTGGGCTGCACATTATGTGCACCATATGTTTTCGCTAGTAAATTCACTAAGTTCCCCGTTATTGCCTTTAATGGTTCACTTTCAATTGTATGTAGTGATTTTGATTCATGTGACTGTAGCTTCCTTTCATCACTTGGTCACCAAAATGTAGCAGATTTTCACACTCGTTTAGCTGCCCATTTAGACTTAGTCTTCATTACTTATGTAGAGATATGTGTGACCCGTAAAGCATACGACAAGCTTGGAAAAAACGCACTCTTACATCGGACAAAGAAAGTCAAATACAGAAATTTCTCAGGAGAAAATATGCAGAATTTAGAAACCATGTTTTGTACGACTAACTGGGGATTATTTACAAATGACTCACTGGGAAACACTACTGATATTATCACTTATTATATGAAATTCTGTTCTGATGTTTGTTGTCCCACTGAAACCATCTTTGTAAGTTTTGATCGACTTACATCTCCACAACTAAAACGATTATGAAGTGTAAAAGAGAGAATGTGCACAGGGGAAACTTCTTGGAAGCTCGAAATATAAATGGTTTAATAAGTCTAAACACTAAATGTCTGAACCATTCGTTTACTCAAAAACTCCTATCTTGTTAAAACTCTTCAAGTATGTGGAAACTATTTAAAGAACTTGAAGATGGAAAACACAGGTGTGATACCCAGCTGAATGTCCGTGATTTAGATAAGTCTTTTGCACTTCAATCATCTGTTGTCATGCTGCCGATATTCACAGGCTTGAAGGAATGGTTGAGTTCCGATTTCCACTGGCATTGATGTCAGAAAACGTCTCCAGTCACTCAACTCATCCCAATGTTTATGGCCTGATGAAATCCTTAACCGCCGTTTTGAGAAATGTGCTGACGTCCTGTATTACCCACTCACGAGCATCTTTAACAGATCCTTCTCAACTTATGTCAAACCGAACATATGGTCTGCTTGAATATCTGGGCTACCTGTCTTATCAGAAACTAACTATTTACTTCATTCACATCTTTCTCATTGTATATCTTCTGGTAGAATGAGACGTCAATACATTAGAATACACGCACGTAAGCAAATGTATCAAAGCTCTACAATACCTTATCTAGTAAAAACACTGTATGATGAATAGGTTATTAGGGCTGACCTAGTCAGTAACTTGTATTCTTAATTAATTGAAAAAGTTGTACAGATCCAAATAAAAAAAACACATTTCTTTTGATTCCGTGTAGTTTATTTAGTGAATGTATATATTTATATATAAGAAATTTATCAAAATACCTGAGAAGTCTATATTGTACCAAAAATATAATACTGAATAGTCACTAATAATTATATCAATGACAAATTAGTGATTGGATATAAAGCTTTACGATAATTAAAAGACTACGTACAGTTGGAACAAGTAGAAATTTTCAGTAGTTCTTCTATCAGGTGATGTAATACATTTGAATTCTAGTACTACTATAAAATTACAAGATAGAATCAAATCTAAAAAAATATTATTTAACTAGCTTATTTTTCTTATAGAATGTTGGCTATGATTACATTAAATATATGCTTAATACTTGGCACGAAGAAGGTCGCTTACAAAATCTCATACCAGGTGTGAAACTACATATTTCCTCTTTGACTGAAATATCTACATGTGAAATAGATCCATCAACTGCTCAGTTAACTCCAGTTCATTCAACAGCAACTCATAACTGGTTAACTCAGGTTAGTAAAATGTAATATATTCTCTTATGTCGGTTCTACATTTCTACTGATAATTCACTTATACATTAACATACTGGATCTTTAACATATATATGCATTAATTTATAGCAAAGTTGTCAAAATCTTTTTTTAATGACATAAATCAAGGGATATAATGTGATTTATATTGGAAAAAAGACCGACTTTTGTACATTATTATATCGTTTGTTATTGTTCAAAAATGTATTTTATATGCCAGAATATAAATTAAAATCTTATCTTATATGAATGAATCAAATTACTGTTTGAAATCATTATACATCACTTATTATTCTCATATAGTATATTTTAGATTAATGAATATTTTAATATGAAACGTAATACACAATCATATACATCATGACAGTTGAACTAGACTATTCTATCAAAAGAATTCATTGAAAATATTGGTAATAGTACCGTCATGTGTTCATATTAATTTGATAGGTTTCATTGAAATAGTTGTAACATAATTTAACATGTTTGTAGTTATTTCTACAATTCATTTCATAGTAAAATATTTATAATTGATTAGTATATTATCTTCATTGGCTCATTTATAGACAATTGATTTTTATAAGGATTCTCGAAACAAAAAGGTTAACTTAATTTTTCTGTAAATCCATACTGAACAGTCGAGTAGATCATTGTACAAATCTATTGACTATCATTAGATTTATGGTGATATTTTCAGTGGAGTTATACATTCTATTTTACAAATGAGATTTTTACTATTGACTAGTATTATAGATTGATTATCTTTTTTTATGAGTAGAATATCTCTAAAGCTATGTATAGTTACTCCTACTAACTGATACAATATGTAGATATGGTAACTATACAACTTGACAGACTTTTAATTTCGGAAACATCTTAATCTGTATGTGCGTATATGTAATATCACCTCAAAAAATCGAATTAACAATAACAAGAAGTCTCTCGGTTTTCTACTGGTTTCTTTTTCTACCTTGTTCGTCAATGAATGGGACTGATTAGTCCTAATAATGAATCGTTTCAGTTCATAAAAAGAAAATCGAAACATTTCTTGTGATATATACTGGCAAATCAAATTGACCATACATACTCCACAATCCTTAAATTTATAAGCAAAGGGGAAAAAGACGAGAAACTTACAGGTTTAATAAACGAGTACATCTTTCTAAGCTCTTTTCTGTTAACTTTCAAAAAATTTGTTTCATAGCAAAATCTTTTCTGTACGTTACGTTTAACAAATATTTCATACTACTTATTACTCCATAATTCCTAAAATATTTCAGTTGTATGGTAATTTTGTTAGTTTTTATCTTGTGCAGAAAGAAATATTAATGATCCTTATAGAAGTCCGACCTCACAATTTCTTAAATATTTTCGAAATTAACTTGTAAATGTAGCATGTTTAATTTGATTTTTTTAAGAATTGATACTGTACTGTTGTATTTTCCGTTTAAGAAGATGAATAACACTTCCTTGGAGTAGAACAATCAAATATTCTAACCACTTGATCTGATATACAAAATCACACTGTCCCTACGACAAACGCAAACTTTTTGTTCTGACTATCGCTCAAAATCTGTTTGTTTTGTATATACTTTAACAAACCCATGTCCTCGCTTATACGATAAGTTTAACACTTTCCTTTTGTTCTCATCTATATGTATCACTGATATGTTTAGCAGTTTAAACTGTTACATTATTATTGAAAGTCTAATCACTTAGGTTGACTATTAAAAACACTGATAATAGGGTTTTTAAGTGAGAATAATGCGATAATTATCTTAATTAATCATACAATCAATTAATATGAGATTCTTTTGTGACCATTGATGGATTATGGTTTTTTCATCTATCTAATTCATATATATATATATATATATATATATATATATATATATATCCCTGTTCTTTTCTTACAGAGTTTTAGTGATCAGCCCACATTCATTGATCTAGCTGAATGTGTAGCTAAAACATCCAAAGGTGTGAGTTCTTCAGGTGGGTGTTTTTTCTCTGCTAATTTATGTTTCACAAACTTTCTTATGGAAAACCAGTTGTAGATTCTTGAAAAGTCTTATTAATTTTACATTAATAAGGATAATAATGGTTATTAGTTAGTGCAAGTTCCGAAAACGAATGAGTAATAGATTACTCAGAATTTATGGATAAAGTTATTATGTTGTATATTATCAAATAACGATCAAGTAATAATACTGTAGTTGAGTGTTTTATAATGTTATGCGTATAAATCTAAATGTAACTGGTTTACATGACATAGTACAAAACTATTGTTCACATATATTTTACGTGTTTGTGAATGAATTCATTGGCCCTGTTATGTATGTAATAAGCGAATCGTCGAGTCCTTGATAATGGGGGATACTGTTATATCCTAGTGAAGATAAAATTACGGGTAATTCCCGAGGACTATTAATGAACTAATATTATTTATATATTCTCATGGTATAAATATTCAGTAACTAGATTATGTATATCTATATTCCCCTTGTTATAAGCTTTATTTTGACCTATAGTTTATTATTGTACGATTTACTGTTCTTAAGTTATATTCAGTTTATTAACTACTGCCTCCCACATTCACAGCCACTTTTTGGCCTTAGTGTGTACAAATGTTGTCCTCTATTTTATGGTGCGTTGCTGTCTGTTTTGTTGATATATAAACCCAGTATGTCTGAAATAAATGATTCGATTCGCATAGTGGAAGCTGGTATTGGTGTTCTGGACTCAAGTGGACAGGCTAGGCGAACATAGGACCAATAAGGACGCTAGACTGCTCATACCGCTCGAACGTCATTGGTTTGGCACAGTGCTAAGATTGTATAATTCGTATTTTGATTGGTAGATAGATCACGTGATAAAAAGCCGGACATAAAGCCACAACAAATACAATAGACTGATTTGAAGGCTACATACACATAAACTCAATATCCAGTACCAACTTGATAATCAACGATGTAGCACAGTACTTGATACAATACAAAGAGTCACAGCATTATTGGTTATTTAAGGTTATCACTAATATTGATGATCAAATGTTTTCCTAATAACTCACAGTCAAACTTTCTTGTTTTGATACTCTATACGTAAATGACAACTTCCATTTCCTCATTCCTAACTCAGTCAGTTAGTTGGTAGTTATGTCTTCATTTATGACCACGGAGTTCATTTTTGAGTATGCGATGATACCCAGGCCATGCAATCTGCACTTAATCAGTTGGCAATCAGTGTTCGTAGACATGGTATGTGCTTTGCACCTTCGAAGTGCAAACTACTTTTACAAGACCGACGGGACCCTGATCCTGCATTGGTTGTCCACCAAACATTTTCCTATAAATGAGATATTGACTTACAACCAGACGGTGTTAATACAAAATAACGGTTTAGTTTGTTTCAAAGGTCCAGCGGAAAATCTAAGACCAAAATGACCATTATATATAGGTATAATTCGGCTAACAAATACAATGTTTACCTTTTGAAGATTTATAAAACACGCGTTTGCATATCTAGTACTTGAAGTAATCAAAAGACTTACAGTTACTATACATAGTATTTGGTTCTAGTAGTAAAAGCTTTCAACTTGATTAACAACACACCATTTGTTTATTTTAAAAACAGGTTCTGATAGGTACTATAGAACAGATAGTACCAATGTACAAAATTTCCCTCAGTTACCTGATATGGCTAGTAAAATTACTATACCTGATATTTCTACCTATACCAATGCTACTGTTTCCAGTGGTAGCAGTATAACTACTGTAAAGAAATTTCCGAAACCTACGCACACCGTTGTTTCAGATTCAACATCACGATATTTTGATACTGATCACTGTTTACAGTCTGGATCCAGTTCGAAAATTTCATCTTCAAATGAACAACATAGCAAGGAAGGACAAAAGCATATTTTCGACTTTTTGAAAAATAATCTGTCTTCCAAGAATAGACGACGTTTTCTAAGTAATTGTTACGATTCATCTTTAAATGTTGGTAGCAGTTATTCATACCGAAATTCAGACGTCTTATGTAATGTAAATTGTGCTCCGATCCAAAACAATTTGTTTAAAAGTGGTGTCCACCCTAATCATTTACGGAAATATAAATCTGATTATGGTCTACAAGCGTATGACAACAGTCAAACAGGGAATTTAATTATGAATAGTGATCTCGATCCCGTGGTTAATGCATCTGCAAAATCTGCACACGTTACTAAATACAGTCTGTCTTCCTTTAGATCTTTGGAAGATGATGGGTATTTAGAAGATGATGAAAGTTCCACAGACTGTGCACATTCTCCAGTCACAGCATCTGATCCCGAATTAAGACATGATGTTTACCCCGAATCCAGTAATGCAGAAAATAGGGGTTTGCGCCAGAGATCATCTTCTATATATGGGCTTCCACATTATTTGTTACATACAGAAGTATCAAACAAGAGATGTGATTCACCGAATTCTGATAATGTGAAAAATCCGTCTATCATAAAGGGTCAACAAGGAAGTAATGATGCGAATGTATTTATGAACAACCCATTGCTTAAGTTAGATATGACATCTGTACGTAATCGGACGAAGCTAAATCGCAAAAGACATCACCGTTCATCATTAGATCGAGTAAGACATTGAGATTTGTTTAGTATACATGTACCTTTAATTTTTCAGTATACTTTCGTATTTTATTGCTATTTGACGATGTTTTCAGTGGAGCTTGGGTTTCGCGTTGTCTGAAGAGATGAACAGTAGAGTAAGGAATAAAGCACTTTGCTTTCATTTACTTGGGCGCAGGTTCCAACCTACTTTTATCTGTTCAGTCAGGTTAGTTTCATCAGCTATTTTCCTCCCTCCAAAAATTTGCAGGTAACATAGAACTATCGACGAATTAAGCATCCTGAATCCTAGTGCTAAGTTTTGTACTTTCATTCTTGGACTGTCTTATACCTTAAGGATGACTAGACCACCATCAGGTTAATTATGTTGTGCATTAATTCTGGACAAAGTATTTATATTACATCTACATTTACTAGGGGACGTATATATTTATTTGGTGCCGTGCATAACTACCGTTTCAGGTGTGGCTTTATGTTATAGTCTTCAAAGTTGTTTCCAAATATCGGGGTTCTAGCCTTTAAACCATATATCTCGTAACTAAAGATCACTTTAAAACCATTTATGAGAAAAATTCCTAAAATGTTTTTCTTTTGATTTCATAGTTACGGACTGATCGTGATCGAGGGGCAGCAAACTCGCTTGTTAACCTACCATAGTGACAAGCTAAATGATTACATTAGATTGATAAATATGTGCTTGTGTATGTACATATTCGTAATATTGTGATATTTCATTTATCAATTACGTCTACGTATATGAAGACATGTTTGCTTTTATACTTTTTTTCTTCTTATTTCCAAATACTCACTCACTCATTCACTTTCATCCTAAAACAAGAAGATTCTTTAAGTTAATATACATATATATTTCATAAATAAAGAGTAAAATCACTTCACATTTTTCCACGTGATAAACATTTGAAAACAGATGTTATATTTCATGTTTACAATATACATTACCTACAACGATTTCATTTTGAGTGTTCTTTTCTTCTACATTTAGCTTATGGGTGGTATAATTGAGCTTACTTGAATGCTGCATGTGTTTAAATTGTATCTCATCCTGCAACAATCGGTACTCCATTTTTATTGATGTGACTTTATGTTTAGACTAATATGAAGGGTGACTTCTAATGAAAAGTTACTGGGAAAATATTGGAATACAAACTCCTAGTTCTCTCATCTTATTTGCTCATTTATATATAATAGATATATAAGCTCAACTAATTTTGAACATTCTAATGATACACTATGTCTGAAATGCTTTTACAAAAATAAAGGCCGAACTAAGCGAATAGGAGTATATGAGTTACACTAATATGTGCAGTAAAATCAAATTAATATTATCAGGGTAGGTTTATTGTCAGTACTGATTACTTTTGAACACATAGGACGGTTTGCATTTCCGTATTGTTATGATTGCAGCAAATCTAATCATTGGTTCTGGATCATTTTCATGAAGCATCACAAAGTTAATTTAAGATTAATCTTATGACCTGCTTTAACTACATGTTTTGACACAGTAAATGGTCCTACTATTTGTAATGTTTTTAAGAGACTTTATAAACATTTTGTTGCGATATTCAGAAAAATATCCTAGAAATTATCCTGTTAAGTCTAATGCTATCCTTGGACTTGAAATGGTATCGTTTCCCTATTGGTCAATATTCATTTCACGTGTCGTTTCCCTACTGGTCAATATTTATTTCACGTGTCATTTTCCTGTTGGTCAAATGTTGTACAAATGTTATTTTCTATTTTATGGTACGATGTAGTCTGTTTGACTGGTATATAAACAGAGTATGTTTGAAACATAATGATTCATATCGCAGAGGCTGAGACTTGTGTTCTGGACTCAACTGGCTGGGCTAGACAGGGAAGCAGGACCAATCAGAACTCTAGGTTGTTTTTACGTGTTTTACGCGTCTTTGGTCCGATCGATAATTCGCTGCCCTCTAACCCGCGCGGCACAACATATAACACCTTTTCACCATATTTTTGGAGAAAACAAGGCTTGTTCAATGTAGTACATGTTTAAGGAGATTTTCAAGTACACTGCTCAGTAATTTCTGTTTCTATTTTCCTCTTTTTACGTAAATTTTCGATTTTCTCATCCACAGTAAGTTCCACATGTCTTGTAGATAGCTTCTTAATTACAGTTTTCTTATTAGATAGTTCTAATGTGTTAATAAATCTAGCCTCTGGAGATATTTCATCCAAATGATGATTGATTAGTGAGCTATTTGGGATGGTACCTGTAACAAGAAACATAATGGATATGGTTGCATGCTGATAAAATCATTATAATCAAGATCAAGTTAATGACAAATTTGTGTGAAAAGAAGCGATACTGTCTTCTTACATAAATTCAGGTTACCAGAGAGAGACGTTTCGATAATTAATCCTGTAGTTGGAAGAGTGCTCAGACTTGGGAGCGCAATATATACAAACAATGGCGAATACACTTGTACTCTAAAATAATTATCGACTCTGGCCGTTGTACTTTTCTATATCGAACACCTGCAAAGCATTATCTTATGTATGAGTGACTACACAATATAACTACTTGGATTCATACAAAGCCCTCATTAAAAATCCTAGTAAGCTAATTAAAAGAGCGGGTATCCATATAGTTATGGAACACAATAATAGACAAACATACTTTCAACATAGTTCAACATTCTTTTGACAATAGCTGATCTGGAAATAATTTGGATAAAAATCGTTTAAGGAAAAGTACAATATTTCTACCGGATTCCGTATTCTGACCACAATTTCTGATAATGTTTGACCAAATCTAGTTGAGCAGCTAGAAATTTTATTATAGAGTGAAGTAATTATCCACATACCTTCACTTGTTTCCCAATTTAAACAAGATTCTGGGTAGGTGCCAGCAATAAATAACAACGGGAAGTCTTTGGGGGATATGTATTACTGTTCAGAGACTTACCAGCTGCAAGCTGATAATGAGGTTTAGCAGGAGTTTTACTCAAATCCAACATGTCATCGACAACCTTTAATATAAAATGAAACCAATTTTTTTAAATTCCTAATCTATAGGTAGAAAAAACAACTTTACTAAACATAGTGAGAAGTTATTGCCAAGTAGTGTGGTGTAAAAATAACTGATCATACAGATCTGGACTCAATGTCTCCTATTACGTAAAGCAGATAACAGGAAAGTAATCAGGCACATAATGTTGACATGTAGTAAACAACTGGTAATAGCCACTAGATAAAAATAGTCGAATCCATGTTATTTATTTGCCTATAGCACTTAACTGGCACTACATAAAATTCAACAATAGTGACAAAACATAAAACGAAATGGAGGTCGACTACCTCCAACCACCATCTAATCTTACAATAGTGCCCGCGGTGCCCAGTCACCTAGACTGGTGGCCACAGTGCAACATGATCGATAGCATCCGATCTGCACTGATAATAAGGACTAGACACGCATGACATTGGTCACCCAGTGATCAATCAATTGTGACTCACTATTAACGCTAGGAAATCGTGCCTCAAATGGAAGGCCTTACAGTTGATATCTTTCGTCCATGACTGATAACACTTTAGGTGACTAGTCGATACTATTGTCTGCCAACTGACCATGAATTATTTTGTCTAATCACGTTTACTGAGTTATAACTAATATATGGATACTGACAAATAAATTAAATCTCGTAGTTATGCACATATTTTTATGGGAGTCTGGAAGTCAATACCCCAACTTGATTACCTAAACCAAAGTAAGTACAAACTCACATAGATTGAAAAAAGAAAATCATCAAACACCTATTAATCATTTAAACAGTAAATAATCAGTGTAAGAATCAACTTACTGATGGACTTTCATAACCCCTTCCTACCATAAACAAGATGGACATAACATATCGTATTTGGTGATAAAGGAAACCCGAAGCCGATATGCTAATGCGACGCAACTTGCAGTGACTAAAAAGTAGGATTGAAAATACGTTAGTTGACATACATGTACATGTATCGATATTGGACAATTTTGAGTATACTTTTAATGATACTACTTAATTACTACACCGGAATTTATAGAATTATACGATAACAATCAGTTGGCAAGTGACAAAATCTAGATACATACACAACATGCTTGATATTTTGCAAAATTAGGTTTCCTGTTACGTAAAGGTGGGATCCATTAGAAGGTAAGAATATTTCGCGGGAGTTCGGTTTATATTTGAGCACGGATGAAACTTGCCCCCAAATGCCCTGGTACGGCCGAGAGTGGGGAGAGTCAGCTCTCCCTCTCGAAATGCTCTCACATGACCACGCGTATATAGCCTCTGCCAGGGAAGTCCTACTCACTGCCTTCTCGTGGCGGGGGTGTTGTTTACGAAAATGAGAGAACGAAAAGCGAATGTCCGGCGCTTTAACCGGATCCCAAACCAATGGTGCACATGGGCTCCAGTATCCTGAAGGATCAAATGGCGTATGAATCAATCGTTGGTCACCGGCAACCATGGGACTGCATCTCCTCACGATGCTCCACTGCCTTGTGGGTCAGACGTTCAGGTCGAAGGCTCGGGGTGTGACCCCCTAAGAAAACCACCTGCTTCGGTTTGGGCACCCGGGAAGTCTCACAGCCCTCACACAAATCAATTGAGATTCGTGTGGCGCATATGTATTTGGTGCCTCCTTGTACCAATATGTGTTAAAATAAATATAATAATAAATAAATACGGATGAAACTTAAACTTGGGAAGTACAAATGGAAAGGTTGTGATCATTTTACCATAAATGTCTTCAAGATGTTGTTTTGGTGTTAAAATCACTTAGTGGACTGTGTTAGTTGTATTTACAGAGGGCAGTAAATATCGGCAAATTAACTGCGAACCATGAAAGACTAAAGTGCTTACGGGGTATGTCACTCATAAACAACGACTAAATAAATCAGAATAGTACTGGTTGTTTACTTTTCCCTTACTTGTAAGTCCAAACAAATTGCAACAACCAAGCTCCAAGAAACAAGCGATACGAAATCACAGAATTCGAATAAAATATTTAATTCGCATATTGAACATGAAGACTAGAACTAGTTTGCTATTCACAGATTTTTCTAACCGAATTCTATTTCAACATTACGCATAAGGTAGGTGGTGGCTAGACATAAGCAGCACGTTTCAACTATTTTAGTATACAACTGTTTACAACTTCATCCATCAGTTCTGACTTATACCAAGTGATATTTGTGAACATAACAATAATACAATTTAATCGATGAAAGGCGGATTATAGCCCAAAATAATTTCTAAGAAATTAATGTATCAAGACTTTCAGTGCCAACTCATTTCTCAAGCGCATGCGATCACTTTTCAAAACTGTTTCAACTTTGCCACAAACTAAAGCAATGAGAAATAAATGACGTTCAGTAATTAGACAACACTAAAGCATCATGTTGTATTACTATCGAATCGAGTTACTAAAAAGATCGGGAAAACGACCGCAGAATCTGAAACTTACTGATCACATGAGTTTACATCGCTTATAACCACTTCGAAAATTTCACGTATAAAAGTCACAGTATCTTTTTCGATTCGGGAAGCACAGAAGTTCCTGAAATCGTGTACTCCAACGAGCCGATTGCCCGCGTCTATCATTGCCTTTAGACAAATAAATGA